CCCATCTAAACACCAATGGTCTGCATCCAACACAATCCCTACAAAGTCCCAAATGGCTTTTCTTTTGAAATTGACAAGCTGATTCTAAAGTTCATATGGAGTTGCAAGGGGCCTTGAATGACCAAAACAATCCTGAAAAAAAAAAAGTCGAGGACTCACTTTCTTACTTAAAAACTTACTACAAAGCAACAGGAATCAAAACAGTGTGGCACTGACACAAAGACAGACTTTGAGAGCCGTGAAAAAGAATTGAGAATTCAGAAACACACACACACACACACACACACACACACACACACACACACAGTCAATTGGTTTTTAACAATGATGTCAAACTCACTCAATGGGGAAAACAATTGTGTTTTCCACAAATAATGCGGTGAAAACTGGACATACACATGCAAAAAAATGAGGTTGAACCATTTCCTTACTCTATATATACAAGGTGGATCAAAGACTTAAATGTAACACTAAAACTGTAAAGCTGCCAGAAAAGCATGCAGCTAAATCTTAATGGATTTTTAAAAAGAATTCTAAGATATAACACCAAAAGCCTGAGCAACAAAAGAAAAAAACACACAAACAAATTGAACATTGGCCTACGGTCACAGTTCCATTCTTGGTCAGGGCATATGCCTGGGTTGTGGGCTTGATCCCAGTGTGGGGTGTGCAGGAGTCAGCCCATTGGTGACTCTCTCTCATCATTGATGTTTCTCTCTCTCTCTCTCTCTCTCTCTCTGAAATCAATACAAATATGTCTGAAAAAGAAGGAATTGAATGGGTTTGTTCTCTTTTCCTCCGTTGCATTAATTTCTTTTCCCTCTTTAGGTAGACACATAGTAAAGACTAGGACATCCAAAAGTAATTCATATACAAGAAAAATTAGAAAATCATTGCACAGGCCGAGGGACTAGGCGGAGTCAGAAAATACCCGAAAGACCGCAAATTTGGCCTCAGGCTGACTCTCGGCACAGACATCGCCTACATCAACTACGAAAACAAAAGAAAAAGGAAACCCCCAGGACTGGGGGAGGGGAAATGCGATTCCCAAAGTCCAATTAGATATTAGATTCACTATTCAGTTTTCAACAGAAAACATCCCAAGGCATATAAAAGAAACAAAAAAGTATGTACCATTCAAAGGCAAAAATAAACCAGCAGAAACTGTCTCGGAAAAGGACCTAGTAGCACATCTAATAGACAAAGGCTTTAAAACACTGTCTTACAGATCCGCAAAGAACTAAAGATGTGAACTGAAAAAAATAAATAAATAAGATGTATGAACAAAATGGAAAATCAATAAAGCCTACTAAATGGAAACCGAAGAGAAATCCTGAAACTGAAAATGACAATAACTGAAATGAAAAATTCACTAGAGTAATTCAAAGGCGTATTTAAGCAGACAAAATTGGGGAATTTGGTTATCAAGTTCTGAGAAACAGAAAGAAAAAAGATTGAAGAAAAGTGAACAGAGCCCACAGGATCTGTGGGATACCATTAAGCAGAACAACATACACATTGTGAGAGTCCTAGAGGGAGAAGACAGAGAGAACGGGGAAGACAGAGTGTTTGAAGAAAAAACAGAAAATTTCCGGATTTTATGAAGGATATGAATGTATAAACATCCAAGAAGCTCAATGAATGTCAAGCAGGATGAATACAAAGACACCCACACCAAGACACATTATAATCAAACTGTCAAAAGACAATGACAAAGAAAGAAGTTTGAAAGCAGTAAAAAAGAGTGACTTGTCATATTCAAGAGATCCTTAGTAAGATTATCAGCAGATTTCTCATCAGAAACTTTAGAGGCTAGATGGCAGTGGATTTATACATTTAAAAAGCTAAGAGAGAAAAAACATGTCAACTAAGAATCCTATATCTGACAAAACTGTCCTTCAGAAGTGAAGAAATCAAGACAATCCCAGGTAAACAAAAGCTGAGAGAGTTCATTTCCACTAGACTTGCCCAATAAGAATTGCTAAAGGGGGTTCTGCAGGTTGACAGGAAAGGAGATTAGAAAGTAACTAGAAGCTGTATGAAGAAATAAAGATCACAGTAAAGTTAAATATATAGGTGATTATAAAAACTACTATTATTAAATATTTGGTTTGTAATTCTAAATGTTGTTTTCTACATACTTTAAGAGACTAATCCATTAAAAATATTAGTTTATGTTTTTGGACATAAATGTATAGGACTATAAGATGGTATAATTTAGCTAAATTTTAACTTTAGATTTTTAAAATGTTTTTGTTGATTTTTTTTTAGAGAGAAACATCATGGAAAGAGAAACATCATCAACCAGCTGCCTTCTGCACACCCCCAACTGGGGACTGAGCCTACAACCTGGACATGTGACCTGATCAGAATCGAACTGTGACTTCTTGGTTCATGGGTTGACATTCAACCACTGAGCCACACCGGTCAGGCTAACTTTTTATTTTTAAAAAATACCTAAAATTTTCAACTGAAATATTATATTCTCATTGAATTGCTGAGACATTTTCTCTCCTGTTTTCTTTGGATAAAAATAAATGAATTAATAGACAGCCTATGCAAATGGAAAGAACTCTGGACTGATTCTGTTTAGAAAAACCTACTTGTGATTCTATGACTGCCAGTAGCTGGTAATCCTTAGCTCCCCACGTCACCTTCTTGGGCTCTCAATTCCTAAAAAAACTTGAGGTTAATTTAGGAATTTACTAGTCTAATGCTTATTGAATACCTACTATGTGCCAGGCACAAAACAAACTCTAGAAAACAAACTCTAGAAAAACTAAAACAAAATCTTGTCAAAAACGTGAAGTAGCAGCAATGAGTAAACCTAGGCGCTCAGGGGCAGTGCAGTGAGCAAACGGCTACCTCCCCGCGATTATAGTCCAGGCCGGGGAGGGGTCAAATAACAAACAAACTAGCAAGTAAACGAGTGCTTGTGTGTGATCAGTGCTTGAGAGTAAAAATAAGTCAGGGACTATCCAGGGGATTCTATCTGAGATAAAATGGTGAGGGAAGGTGTCTTATTTGGAGTAAATCTAGCTCATTGGAAGGGATGAATGTAACCCTATAATCTTGACACCCGAACCAGATGAGCACACACAAATGACAGCAGCAAACACAACGAAGACACTTCACTTAGGAACAGTGACTGAAGAACCCTAAAAAAACTAGGTGCCCAAATCCAACAATGCATTTCACAATTCCCATGTCAAGACCAAAGAAGGTTCATGCCAAGACATAACATCAGAAACATCTGCCTATGTACTACCCCACAATAATGGACTTAAGAAAAAAACCACAGAATTATCTCAAAAGACACTGACGAAGCATTTGATAAAGTTCAATACCTACACATGATAAAAGTAATTAGGTAATTAATATGCACCAATTCCAATAGGGCAGAGGCTTGTTCTTTTAACTGATTCATGAACATATCCCAGATGATAAAAACAATGCCTGAATTTAGTAGCCATTAGGTACACATTTGCTTAGTGAATGAACAACAGAAGGAAGGAAGGAAGGAAGGAAGGAAGGAAGGAAGGAAGGAAGGGAGGGAGGGAGGGAGGGAGGGAGGGGAGGGGAGGGGAGGGCAGGGAGGGAGGGGAGGGAGGGGAGGGGAGGGAGGGAGGGCAGGGGAGGGGAGGAAAATTCTTTAGACTGACAAGGGCAGTCTACCCAAAGCTTACATCATCCTTAATGGAACAAAACCTCAAACATTGCCTTTCAGGTTCGGAACAAGACGAGGGCGCCCTCTCCTGGCCAATGCTCAAAGATGCCCCAGACAGCAAGGTGGGATTAGAACACTGAGGACAGGGACTGGGAGGCAGGCAACAAAACTGTCAGTGTTTGCAACGCAGTTCCAGTAAAACGATTGCAACCACATTCCTCTCCCTGCAGCAATAACTATAGAGAAAAAGTAACCAAAAATTACATACCACTTACAACAGGAACTAAAACTAGACACTAGAAAGCAACCTAACAGGAAACAGAAGAGCTTTCTGAAGAGAATTTTAAAATTCTAACCAAGGACATCTTTAAAACTAAGTAAATGGAGCCTTATGCCATGCTCATGGATATGATGACTTAATATTAAAAAATGTCAGGTCTCCCCAAATTAATCTATAAATTCAATGCAAATCTTATCAAAACCCCAGCATATTCTCTCTCTCTCTCTCTCTCTCTCTCTCTCTCTCTCTCTCTCTCTCCCCCCTCCCTCCTTGATAAAGTGAATCTAAAATCTGAACAAAGAAGAATGAGGATGTGAGAATAGGTGAGGCAACTTACCAACAGGAGAATCAAGAGGAAAGGCTCACCCCACCAGAGGTTAGGACAGTTTCAAAGCCATAATGACTATCACAGTTTCTTATACAAGAAACACTAAACAGCGAGGTCAATAGGACAGAGCTGACGGTGCAGAAACAGCCCAGGACACAGGGACTCAGTGTTAACAGGCAGAGCATCAGCACCACAGAGAACAGGTGAATTATTTGACAAATCGTGACCAAAAGATTGGCTCACTACATGGAGATATTTAAAATGTTGGGTCTCTACCTTAAATCATCTTCAAAAGTAATTCCAGGCCCAGCCAGCATGGCCCAGGGGTTGAGCACTGACCTATGAACCAGGAGGTCACCGCATGCAGCTGAAGACCGAGCCTTCGTCCCTGCCTCCCAGTAAAACATGCAACGTGCTTAATCTAACTGCTCAGCTAACTCCGCCTGCTTCTCTGTTTTCACGCAACAAGCCTGGAGCTTAGTCCATGGTTAGCTCATGTAATTCCATTTATTAAACTTAGCAGTCCCTGCACTGTGCAGGGTGGGGTCAGACGGACTGGCTGGACGAAGGGATAGTAGTGAGACCACAGAAGGGCTGTCAGGAGCATTACCTCTCGGGCGGGAAAGCTCTGGCCCTGGGCCTGGCTCGGGGTCCCGGAGGGTGGCCATCGGGGCTTCCGCGGGCGCCTGTGGGTGGAGGAGGGAAAGCAGCCACCCCGTGCTCACCGTGCCTTCCGGGTCCACGAGCAGCAGGTGCTTGGCCTGGCCGTCGTGCATGCCAGTGAGGACGAAGGAGCCCGGGCTGGTGGTGCTCTTCCTGACCAGGAAGTCCCCGTCTCGCTTCAGCAGCCCCTCCGCCTCCTTCCTGCTCATCTGGCCTTGGTACCACAGCTCGGCTTTCAGCTCCTCCAGCATCCTGGCCTCCGGGGCTCTGGGGGAGACGGGGCTGATGCACTCCACGGAGGCCGCCTTGCTCAGCACGGGCCCCAGGGACTGGTTCTTGAGAGCATCTTCAAAAGGTTCTGCCAACAGCATTTGCCAGCAACGGGTGGACCCAGGAAGAGCAAAGGATAAACAATACAATGTGAGGGCTGAGAAGGCAAGGCAACGCCCCCAGAAGAAAGAACCAGAGACACATGACAGCTGATAATCTAACGAGACGCGTCATAACAAGCATTTGAAAGTACAGCCCAAATCCTGGCGGGACTCTGGTAAGCCTGCTTTCCCAAGGCAGCTGGGCACCAGGCCTTGTGCCAAGGGTTCAAGCACACGCAGGTCTAGCTGGTTAGAATGCCTGTGGCTTTGCACGCCGCAGGAGGCCACGCATATTACATGCCGTCTACTTTCTCTGGAACGTTGGCTAGCCTCCAACAAACATGTTCTCTTCTGGATAGAAACCTGCCAAACCGAAGGAAATATGCAAAGAAAAAGACAATTTGCAAGATTTTTATTTTGTGCGAGACCTAAACCCAACCCATCAAACGTTTATTTCAAAATCTTTGTATCGGATGAATTTTTTTTAAAAAATAAAACTGACGTTTAATTGGGTGCCTTTTGTGTGACTTGTCCCAGGCCAGGAGCCCTACCTTCCCTTGACCTTCACTTGTCCTTGTGGGAAAAGGCTCTGTGTGAGTGTCTGAGAGTGAGCCTGACTTCGGGCCCTTCAGAACAAACCTCTCACTGCAGGGCATCCATCAATGGCAAGACTTCTGCTCTAACATCAACAAATAGCAGCAGCAAGCAAGTCAGCAGGCACGCCTAAGTTAATCTCAGGGTTTGATTTTCAAATAAGTAATTGGACAAACACACTCTGAGAAAATGAGGGGAGTGCTACACGAATGTTTGGTGTTATAATGACTGTGGGACCACATGGCCAACCCAGTCAATGCAAGCACCGCAAGAACAGCATCCTTCTGGGCACAGCTACACCCCAAAGCCCAACATTATTCCTGGGACATGGTTCCTGCTCCACAAACATTCAACAAATGCTGTAAAATAAGATCAACTTAGAGGATGGGCAGGAGTGAGGTGAATAAATGAAACCAAAATTAGGTCATTTGGGCACTCATTAAGTCATTTATATTTTTGGAGCAGAAAAGAAGTTAAAACCATTGATTAAATTTTTATTTTTTTACCCTATCTTTTTCCTGATTACCTGGAGTGTTGAAAATTTGTATTATACTCTTTCTACACCATCATCATCACCACCACCACCACCATCACCATTATCCTGTTATCACCATTTATCATCATCACCACCACCATCACCACCATTATCCTATTGTCATCATCACCATTTATCATCATCTCCACCATCACCATCATCACCATTATCCCATTATCATCACTATTTATCACCACCACCACCACCATCACCACCATCATCGCCATTGTTATTCAGCTCTAGTGGTTAAAAGTAAACAACAGAGTGCTGCCTTTATTTTTTCACACTTTTCAATAGATACTAGCCTTCCAGGGCCCTCTCTTGTTTTTGCTGGGAGCAGGAGTAGAAATAGATGGATGAGAAAACGTTAGCTCTGGTTCTCATAGTTCTCATCTCAAACCCCAGGCCAACCTAACTACCCAGATCTGGGGCCAGGAATCACTGGTGAACTGACTACATTAAACAAGTACAGCCACTGAAGTGCAGTTGTGAGCATTGTGAACACTGGGGCGGGGGCTCAGCGGCTCCACTTGGCTCTGCATCTTGGGAAAGCCACCTCACGCCTCACGTTACTAAAGTGAAGGGATTGGACTAGGTGACTGTGAAGGCGCCGCAATCACTGAGATTCTAGTTCTTCTGGTTCTGGTCATCTTTGTAAGTCGGAATGGGAGTCCACTATCTATGGTACCAAAGTGGCGGGGAGAATTAGACTTCTGTTACCATGGTGCCGAATAATCATAAACGCACTCAGTCCTGTCCTCATCACATGCACCATCACGGACAGCAGGTGTCAAGCCAGCAAGGTTGCCTTTTACCAGCGGTAAAGTCACTTAACCTCTAAGGTTCTCTGTTCTCTCCTCTGTAAAGGATAATAGCAGCAATAGTGATGATAATACAGTCATGTGTCACTGAATGATGGAGATACTCTGAGAAATGTGTCACGAGGCTATGTTGTCATTGTACGAATATCATAGAGGGCACTCACCCAATGCAGCTGGTACTTTCATACAATTGGCAGTGCAGTAGCTTTGTTTACAACCCACTGCATCACCACAAACACATAAGTAATGTGCTGCGCTATGGGACACCAATGACATCACTAGGTGACAGGAATTTTCCAACTGCATTGTAGTCTTGTGGGGCCACCATCATAAATGCAGCTGGTAGTTGATCCAAGTGTCATTCTGTGGCACATGACTGTAGTAATAATACCTGCCTGTAGTATCATTGCAAAATTAAATTAAATAATAAGTGCATAGCCGGTGGTAGAAAGTTGTTAAATGTTAATCTCCTCCCCTCTTTAGCCTTTAAATTCTCAAGGAATTTGAAAAAGAAATTTTGGGATACAAAACTTCTTTTTTAAATATATTTTTATTGATTTCTGGGAGGAAGGAAGAGGGAGAGAGAGATAGAAACATCCATGATGAGAGAGAATCATTGATCGGCTGCCTCCTGCAAGGCCCCCTCTGGGGATCAAGCCCACAACCTGGGCAATGCCCTTGATCAGAATTGAACCTGGGACCCTTCAGTTCGCAGGCCGACACTCTATCCACTGAGCCAAACCAGCTAGGGCGGGATATAAAACTTGTGAGCTAAGGAAGTTCTTTCAAAATTCCTTAAAAACGGCTTCCACTTCCATTAATCGGTTCATGGATGATTTAATTTCGCGATGTTTATGACAAACAGAAAGTCCTTGGCACACACCCTACCGCACTGCTATCTGAGTAGTTTCCTGCCTCTCTCTCTGTCTTATGTGTGACCCGTGCACTTGTTACCAGCTGCTAATACATAGTGGTGATTTCAGCTCCACAGAATAGAGACGTGGCCTGTTTTGGTTTTGTGTATATAGGCAAAGTGAGTAGAATGGCATTTGACACATGTTAGGTGTCCAATAGAGCAGGGGGGAGGCTTGTAGTGGTAGAGAAAGAGGGAGAACAGAGGAAAATGAGAGGGAAGGCAAGCATGTGCCTGCAGACGAGAAGGGTCTGCTGCAATTTCTTGCTCAACAGACGGAGAACTGTGAGGACACGGCCATGCCGTTACCTTTGGCATCCTCAGCAACTGAGGCAATACTTGGTACACAATAGCCAGTGGCTAGTGAAGTGAATACATAAATGAGTGCATTTATTTATGTATATTGTTTGTCTCAATACATATGCAGTTCTTCAAGTGCTAAGTCAATGCCAAAAAGAGGGGGAAATTGCTTTGTCTCTGGACAAAAGTAAGGGATGGAATCCCAAAGCAGAGGTTGGTGGAAGTTGAAAGCCTTGAGAAGCCTGTCATACCCAGAAAAGTGCAGCAAATCCCGTGACCGCACAGATTTCCAATAAACGAGTAGAAAGCAACCTCAAAAGAGAAGAAAAGCGAGGCGAATGGAAACGCACTCATGTCGAAGAGGTCCTTCCTCGGGCTGCTCTCGGCGCTGCTGCCCGCAGCCGGCCCGGCCTGCGGAGCGAAGTGCGGGGCGTTCACGTAGGTGGGGGCGTCTCCCGTCGGGGCCGCCGGCGCCGTCCCTCCCGGCATGCTGGCCGTGTCCAGGGACCCTGCAACAGAAAGCGAGCCTCTTTCTTCTGACGCCAATGCTGCCCACGCGCTGACAGTCACGCCACCCGGTCTCACACAGAAGGTCCTCCAGGTTAACGCAGGGAAGTCTCCCGGCGGCTCCCACAGTTCACGTCTCCCCCCTGACCCATCACAGCACTGCTGTGCTCCGGCCAGGACACATCCGCGCCCGCCTGTCAGGATGCGCGCTGCCAGCCCGTGCCGACGCCCGCCCCCGCCGCTGGCCCGTGACGGGCGGAGTGGAGCCCCAGGCGTGGGTCTGCTCATCCCGGTTACCGAGGCCCGAGATCGAACAACTGAGCAGAAGAGCAACAAGCTTCATTGTAATTGTCCTTTTCCCTGTTCAGTGTAAGTGAACGTTTTGTAAATTAACTCCATTCGGGTTAGGCAAGGCAGGTGCTGCCACCGTTTTAGAAAGTCACTACCTAACGAACTGAGACGCGTTCTTCCAAAACAGCCCGGCGCGGGCGTGTGATGGAGCCCGCGCCGCAGGCAGGGCCGGTGTGTACTTCCTACGTGCCCACGACTGTGCCCACGCTGGGCCAGCGTCCCTGCTGTTGGCACCGGAGGAGAGCTGAAGGGCGCCGCCCGATCACACCCGCTTGGGTCACTGCCTAATTCTTCCTACGGGATCCCGGACTCTAGCACCTTCACACGCATGCTCTCCCGATGGCTTCTGGGCGCTCCCGTCCCCTGGGAGAGGTCACCTGCCACAGCCTGCGGGCAGTCAGCCCAGCCAGCGGTCAGCTCGGGGCTCTGGAAGAAGCGCTCCCCAGAGCCTGCTGCTGGGCTTTCGGGAGCACATCGCCGTCTGCCTCATGCTGAGAACGCAAGTGTCCCTCCGCTTCCTTCAGGGGGGGGGGCCCCGGCAAAGTCTGAACTGCCCCTCGTCTGCTCCTGTTCTGCACAGGCTCCCGCGCCCACAGGCTGGCCCTGGGTGCACGTCCTGCTCCCGCCGGGGCCCTCTGCAGCTCACACGTGTGTGGGCGTTGCAAACAGATCAGCCTGTAAAACGAATTTTACAGACTAATTTTTAAAAGGAGGAGATGAAAAGCCCAACGAACAGCCTTCCTGACCGCGACCCTTTGCGACTCACACGGTGGCAGGTGCGGAGCCGGGGCCATGGACGCGCACGCCATGGCGGCACCGAAAGGTCATTTTAGGGGAATAGCTGCTAGCAAACTAACAAGAAACATTCTTAATTGTTTCATGAAAAAAGGTATTTATTGCTTTCAAATGAGAACTTGAAATTTATTAAGAATAATGAGTCTCAAATGGTAGGCCAGGAACTTACGTACGGCTGATCTGCCCTGATGAACCTCTTGCGTGGTCTGTTCTTGATCTGGCCAGAGTAACACACAGAAAGAGACCTCGTTTTCTAAATAAACCTAACTTTTTTCAATAAAGTAAATATCTAACATAAATAATGTGTCTCCTTACATGTCTAGGTGTATACATGTTATGTAAATGCTTTTTTTAAAACTATCAAGCCAATTATTGTTTTACTTTACTTTTTGTAAGAGGAGAAGCCTTTCAAAAAAAAATGTGTCTTTATTGTTGAAAGTATTACAGATGTCCCTCTTCCCCCAGTGACCACCTCCAGCCGTCCTTGTCAACCCCCCACGGGCCTACTGCACTATAGTCTATGTCCATGGGTTATGCATATGTTCATATCAGTTCTTTGGTTAATCTCTTCCTGCCTTCCCTTCCCTCAGAGATTCTACAGTCTGTTCCATGCTTCCATGTCTCTGGATCTATTTTATTCATCAGTTTAGTTCAGTTCATTAGATTCTACATATGAGTGAGATCATGTGATACTTGTTTTTCTCTGAGTGGCTTATTTATTTTAAATGTCTGTGGAACAAAGATGAAAACATAGTAAAAAACTGCCTCTGACAAAATTATGACTTTAATTCGCGATATCCTTCCTATTCTGACACAGAGCCATGCGTTGGCTTCCGACAAGTGTCATGTTCAACTGACCAGGCCAGCATGATGGGTCATCTTTCAGCTGGGGCATGCAACATGTGAAATTCTCTCACAAGTAGGGAATTTTAAAACGTTATTGTCATTACACAATGATAAATGGATCAATCCAACAAGAGGATATAACCCTTGTAAGCAATTATTCACCCAATGCATGAGCACCTAAAAATATAAAGCAAATATCTTTTAATCATTATTTCTTATTGGTACCACTTAATGTGAAGAAAACATGCATTTTCCAAAAATGTGGAAAAATATTCCATTTGCCTTATTGGGTCCAAATGTTAGTTTAAATTATTTTACTATGCAAGCTTTCTGTCATATCTTGGCAGTAGTGATTTCCATTTTTATTCTTTGGTATCCATAATCTTATCAGAATAAAAAACGTATGCCTTGAGATCACTGGACAGCTCCTCCTCCAACATTTTAAAAACGTGCAGTGAAGGTTATTGTGCTGGTAACTAAATAACAGTAATAATAGGAGAGAATTAAGAAGACATCTAAGCTGATGGCAAAGAGGTTCAACAGTGCGGACAGAAAGGGAGAGATTGACAGTTATACAGTCATAGTGGGGGAATTTAACACCCCACTGACATCCATATGGAAAACCAACAAAGAAACAGTGGCCTTAAATGACACATTAGATCAAATTGATTTAAATTATGTTTTCTAGAGCATTTCACTCCAAAGTAGCAGAATATACACTCTTTTCAAGTGCACATAAAACAATTTCCAGATCAGAAAGGACATATGCACCCCTATGTTCATAGCAGCACAATTCACCATAGCTAAGATCTGGAAACAGCCTAAGTGCCCATCTGTAGATGAATGGATTAGAAAACTGTGGTACATCTACATGATGGAATACTATGCTGCTGTAAAAAAGAAGGAACTCTTACCATTTGCAACGGCATGGATGGAACTGGAGAGCATTATGCTAAGTGAAATAAGCCAGCCAATGAAGGAAAAATACCACATAATCTCACTCATTTCTGGATAATAAAGACCATTATAAACTTATGAACAAAAATAGATACAGAGGCAGAGCTGCCTCGAACAGACTGTCAAACTACAGCAGGAAGGCCGGGGAGGGTGGGAGGGGAGGAAGGGGGTGGGTAAGAGATCAACCGAAGGACTTGTATGCATGCATATAAGCATAACCAATGGACATAAGACACTGGGGGTTAGGGGAGGCCAGGGGAATGTCAAGGGCGGGGGGGGAAAAAAGGAGACATATGTAATACTCTTTGTAATACTTTAAGCAATAAAAATAAATAAATAAATAAATAAATAGTTCAAAAAAAAAAAAAAACAAAACCAATTTCCAGGATAGGCCACATGATAGGCAACAAAATAAGTCACAGTAAATTTAAGAAAACTGTAATCTGCCCTGACCGGTTTGGCTCAGTGGATGGAGCATCAGCCTGCAGACTAAAGAGTCCCAGGTTCGATTCCGGTCAAGGGCATGTACCTTGGTTGCGGGCACATCCCCAGTAGGGAGTGTGCAGGAGGCAGCTGAATCGATGTTTCTCTCTCATCGATGTTTCTAACTCTCTATCCCTCTCACTTCCTCTCTGTAAAAAATCAATAAATGTATTTTTTTTTAAAGAAAAGAAAACTGTAATCCTATCAAGTACCTTCTCTGACCACAATGGTAAGAAATCAGAAATCAATTAAAAGAAAAAAACTGAAAAACACACAAACACATGGAGGCTAAATAACATGTTACTAAACAATAAAGGGTTAACAGTGAAATCAAGGAGGAAATCAAAAGACACCTGGCGACAAATAAAAATGGAAACACAACAACCCAAAATCCATGGAATGCAGCAAAAGCAGCCTAAGATGGAAATTCATAGGAATACAGGCCTAACTCAAGAAGCAAACAATCTCAAATAAACAATCTACTCTTATACCTACAGGAACTAGAACAACAACAAACAAAGCCCAAAGTGAGTAGAAGGAAGGAAATAATAAAGATCATATCAGAAATAAACAAAATAGGGTCTAAAAAAACAATAATAAAGATCAATGAAACCAAGAGCTGGCTCGTTGCAAAGATAAACAAGATTTATAAACCTTAAGCCAGACTCATAAAGAAAAAAGAGAGAGGACCCAAATACATAAAATCAGAAATAAAGGAGGAAAAGTGACAGCAGACATCATAGAAATAAAAAAGGATTATAAGAAAATATTATGAACAATTATATGCCCACAAGTTGGACAACCTGGAAGAAATGGATAAATTCCTAAAAACAATTTCCAAGACTGAATAAAAGCGAAACAGAAAATCTGAACAGACCAACTACTTCCAACAAAATCAAAACAGTAATTAAAAATGCTCCCTACAAACAAAAGTACTAGACCTATGGCTTCAATGATGAATGTTACCAAATATTCAAAGAAGAATTAACAACTAACTTTCTCAAACTATCCCAAAAAAATTCAAAAGGAGGGAAGGTTCCCAAGCTCATTTTATGAGGCCACCATTATCCTGATTCTAAAACCAGACAAAAAAAATTACAAAAGAAGAAAATTATAGAGCCATATCCCTGATGAACATAGATGCAAAAATTCTCAATAAAATATTAGCAAACCAAATTCAGCAATACAATAAAAAGATCAAGTGGGATTTTTCTGGGATACAATGTTTGGCTCAATATCTGCAAATCAATTAATTTAATACACCACATAAACAAAATGAAGGGTAAAAATCATAAGACCATATCAGTGCATGCAGGAAAAGCATTTGACAAAATCTGGCATCCATTTATGACAAAAACTCTCAGCAAAATGGAAATCAAGGGCATATACCTCAACATAATAAAGGCCATATATGACAAACCCATAACTAACATCATACTCAATGGGAAAAAGCTAAAAGTATCTTCCTTAAGATCAGGAACAAGACAGGGTTGTCCACTTTCACCACTTTTATTCAACATACTATCAGAAGTTCTAGCCACAACAATTGGATAAGAAAAAGAAATAAAAGGCATCCAAATTGGAAAGGAAGAAATAAAACTGTCACTATTTGCAGATGACATGTTACTACATATAGAAAACCCTAAAGATCCTACCAAAAAACTATTAGAGCTGATAAATAAACTCAGTAAAGTAGCAGGATACAAAATTAATATTCAGAAATAAGTTGTATTTTATATAACAATAATGAACTATCAGACAAAGAAACTAAGAAAAAAATCACACTTACAGTTGCATTTTAAAATACCTAGGAATAAATTTAACCAAGGCGGTAAAAAAAACCTATAGTTAGAAAATTACAAGGCATTGAAGAAAGATTTTTGAATTGGATACAAATATATAGAAGCAAGTACCATACTCATGGATAGAAAAAAAATTAACATTGTTAAAATGTCCATACTACTCAAAGCAATCTATGGATTCAATGCAATCCCTATCAAAATTCTAATGACATTTTTCACAGAACTAGAACAAAAAAATCCTAAAATTTATATGGAATCACAAAGGACTCTGAATAGCCACAGCAATCTTGAGAAAGAAGAACGAAGTTGGAGGTATCATGTTACCTGGTATCAAACTATACTACAAGGCTTTAGTAACCAAGAAAGCTTGATACTGGCATGAAATCAGCCATACAGTTCAATGGGACAGAATAGAGAGCCCAAAAATAAACCCACGCCTATATGGTCAATAAATATATGACAAAGGAGGCAAGAACATACAAAGAGGTAAAGACAATCTACTCAATAAATGATGTTGGGAAAGTTGGACCAATACATGCAAAAAATGAAATGAGACTGCCTTTTTATACCATATACAAGAATAAACTCAAAATGAATTAGGGATTTAAATGTAAGACTCAAAACCATAAAACTCCTAAAGAAAACATTGACCTTGCTCTAGTAGTATTTTTTCTGATATATCTCCTCAGGTGAGGAAAACAAAAGAAAAAATAAACAAATGGGACAAGTTTTTGCACAGAAAGGAATTCATGAACAAAACAAAAAGACAACCTACTGAATGGGAGAAGATATTTGCTAATGATACATCTGATAAGGAGTTAATGGCCAAAATTTATAAAGAACTCATACAACTCAATACCAAACAATAAACAATTCAATTAAAAAATGGACAGAGGACCTAAATAGACACTTCTCCAAAGAGGACATACAGATGGTCAACAGACAAATGAAAAGATGCTCAACATCAATAATAGAAATGCAAATTAAGACCAAATGAGTTATCACCTCACATCTGTCAGAATGGCTGTCATCAATAAATCAAGAAACAAGTGTTGGCAAGGATGAGGAGAAAATTGTACTATTGGTGGGATTGCAAATTGGTGCAGTCACTATGGACAACAGTATGAATGTTCCTCATATATGACCCAGCTTCTACTTCTGGGTAGCTATCTGAAGAATCCAAAGCACTAATTCAAAAATATATGTGCAGCATATGTATTTTCAGCACAATTTACAATAGCCAAGAATTGGAAGCCACCCGAGTAATCACCAATACATGAGTGGATAAAAAAGTTATTACCAATGGAATATTACTCAGCCATAAAAAAGAATGAAATCTACCATTTACAATCACATGAATGGATCTAGAGAGTATTATACTGAGTGAAATAAGTCAGACAGAGAAAGACAAATACCATATAATTTCACTTACATGTGGAATCTAAAGAACAAAACAGAAACAGACTCATAGGTACAGAGAACAGACTGTTGGTTGCCAGAGGAGATGGGAGTTGGAGAGCTGGGTGAAAGAGGGGAAGGGATTAAGTACAAATTGGTAGTTACACAATAGCCAAGGGGATATTAAGCATAGCACAGTCAATAATATTAAAACAACTAGCTTATGGTGCCAGGTGGGTACTAGACTTACCGAAGGAAACACTTTATAAATCATGTACTTGTCTAACCACTATGCTGTACACTTAAAATAACACTGAATGTGAACCATAATTGAAAAATATAATTTTTAAAAATGTATTGTAATTTACTCCCAGAAGAAATGGCTACAATAAGGGAAAAACCTTAACATTAAACCAAGAAATGGTTAAATTTATATACATAGAAGCACAAATTGGATCTTAATTCATTTGTCACTCCACCTCCTTTAGACCCCGCAGAGTGAGTAGCCAGAGGCCTGGAGCTAGTGAAGGAGTTATAGAAGTGCCTGAAGGGGGAGAAGTTTAAAATGAAAAGAAACCTTTAAAACACACAAAATACACACACACACAAACTATAATAATAAAAGTGTAATATGCAAATTGACTGAATGATTGAACAACAGAATGACCGTCTGGACAACCTTCCGGAAGACCACACTATGACACGGCAGCCAGGGGAAGGAAAGCCCTGATAGGCCCTGATCACTGGCCAGGCCTAGGGACCCTACCCGAGGGGTCCTGGACTGTGAGAGGGAACAGGTCGGGCTGAGGGACACCCCCCCCAACCTCCCAATGCACGAATTTTGTGCACTGGGCCTCTAGTATATATATATATATCTGTGTGTGTGTGTGTGTGTGTGTGTGTACAGAGCTGTCTATAGAATGGGGACTTACATTAGCAATTAGTTATCAGTTGTGAGTGAATTATTTTGAATGTGGGTACAGGAGCATGCTCACTGATTTGATAAGAGGTGGCAGTGTTCTCTCCATGTAGCCCGGGCCCGGAGGGATGCATCTGGAGCCCTCTCTGCCTCCAGTAGCTGCTACTCTCCTCCTGAAGTTGACCCTGGAGCAGGTGGGGGGTGGGGAGGGAGGAGGAGAACACTGCTACTAGCTCCTGTGAGGAACCACTGGGCTCAGCCCCGCTGGGGAGCTCAGGGACAGCATGAAACACTTGAGTCTCCCAGCCAACTCCCTTTTGAAATGGGTGGGGGTGCCCTTGGAGAGGTCAGTTCCTCAGTCCTCCTGGCAGATGAGTCTCCAAATGCTTGAGAAAGTACGTGCTGAAGGATAGGAACCGGTCCTATTGCCAGGGGAGCCATCACTGATGTGTGGCACCCCCACAGCCCTCACTTTATATCTTCCTGTGACCTGGGCAGGAGTCTGCAGCCCCCCCCCCCCCAGCAGGCTTTTGCAGTACGTTTTCCTGCCCCTCCACGGGAGATGAAGTGCCACCAGGGAGACGTCACTTTTGTCTTGGGTTTTTTTTAAACAGGGAAGTGCAAACCAACTTTATATGCAATGCCCACAAACTGGAAACAAATATCAGTCAACAAGTAAACACAGCGTAGGATATTCACACAATGGAATGCCAGTCATCAAGAAAAAGGGAAAAACTATGGATACGTGCAGCGACAGGAGTGAATCTATAAATAGTTTGTTGAGTGAAAAGAAGCCAGATGAAAAAGAACGCATAAGTATAAATGATATGTACATAAAACTCTAGAAAATGCAAACGAATCTATACAAACATATAAAGCAGGGCGGAGGAGGGGCGGGGAGGACCAGGAGGCAGCACGTGACTTCGGCGAGTTTTCATGTTGCGGCCCTCATTGGCTTGCCTCTCACCTTGCCTGGCAGGTGTCGGCTGCCAGTCTTCGCCAAACGGCTCTCCTACATGTCTTCCCTGGTAATAAGTTTGCTCTTTTCCTGAAAACTGTAAGCACAAAGAGAAAAAAATTATGTTCTTCTTCTGTCCCCGCCTCCAAAAGCCACGGTCCAGTAGGAGGGATAGCAGTGGCCAGGCAGCTGCATCCCCGATCGCACACCATCTTCCCTCCGTGCCTCACATTTGGCACGAAGAATTAGGAAATAAATGTGTGTGGGTGTGGGGAAGAGACTGCATCTCAAAAAACTACACATCCCCCCCCCCCCCCCCCGTTTTCATTCCCTAAGTCCCCTTCCACCCAGCCCATTCCCACTCAGTGGCAGAACTACGGACACTGCATTTCAATGTTATTTTGACACTGTTATTAGTGTCATTATTATTCACTAAGGTAGGTGACATCAAAAACTCTCTACAGAGATACATTACCTCTACAAAACAATTGCCTTCCTAGAATGTTTATTTGGAGGTAAAATCAGGGAAATGACTAAAATAGAAAAAAAATCATAAAATTCTCACCTATGTCCACTGTCTTTTCAGAGAAACCAAAGCACCCAGGCTTCTTAAAAGCCTTGAATCCTCTCCTCTCCTCATGAAAACTGCAGTGTCCTGGGCTGTGTCCTGGGGGGGGGGGGGGCGGAGGGGGAGTAAAGGACCCAGCCTCCCAGCTCAGGAATCACAGTATAGTCTCAAGGTATTTGACTAAGACCCTGTGATGTTAAAACAAAAGCCTCCCTTATTTGTCTGCTTCGTGAAATCCAAGGGGGGAAAGCATGTGTGTTATTCTGTCAAAGACTGAACAGAACAGCAACCTGAAAATAAAGCTGAGAAATTTAAAAGGAAATACAGTAAAACCTTGATGTAATGGACTAATTTGGGTGAGAGGGTGTGTGTTAAAGAAAAAAATCTGTCATATAATAAAGTAGGTTTTCTGAATGTGTATGTTCAAAAATGATAAATTAGCCCAGCCAGTGTGGCTCAGTGGTTGAGTGTCTATGAACTAAGAGGTCACAGTTCAATTTCTGGGGGTCAGGGCACATGTCCAGGTTGTGGGCTCAATCCCCAGTAGGGGGCATGCAGGAGGTAGCCAATCAATGATTCTCTCTCATTATTGATGTTTCTCTCTCTCTCTCCCTCGCCCTTCCTCTCTGAAATCAATAAAAATATATATATTTTAAAAGTTGACAAATTAGTTTACCTGTTTTTACTTATGTAGACACATTTGTAATTAAAATTAAGTATGTACGAAAAGTTTAACTTCACAGAAAGTTTTCTACATGTATTATAGGAAATGCATGCATTCACCAGTCCCTGAGAGTAAACAAATGCTTAGCACACATGGGCACATGGGCCCACACACTTTAAAACTGCTGCAGAGTGACGCCGGGTGACAACAGAACCGATTACCGTGTGCTATGGTGTGATTACGTGGTAATCATTAGCCAAACACGTTACCAGCGGTGACTCTTGGATGTAAATATGTAGACTATGGTTGTAGATATGCACTATTTATCTATGTTGGTGAGATTATTACAGTGTTTTTTCCAACGTATGTCCTATTTGCTGAAATTTGTTTAAAATAACAGTTAATTGATAACAAAAAATAACCTGTTAATTTAATTATAAGCAAATATTGGTTTAAAGCATGTTAGAATTAATAGGGTGTTAATTTTCACATATGAGATATGGACTGGAAATTTTGTCCATTAAATCAAAGTCTGTTAAATCAAGGTCTGCAAAATCGAGGGTTTACTATAAAGTTCAATTAGCCAGCATCCCAAGAAAAAGGTACAAAGCTAACCGGGGCTGAGTCAGGGCCATGGGGCCTGGCCTTCAGGCGGGCATCCACAAACCCCCCGGCGGGAGGCGCCTTGTTTGGGATGCTGTTGTAGTACGGGTGGTCGGAGCCATCGCCCTCCTCCTCGGTCCAGGGCTCATCCAGACTCTGCATTCTGTTAAAAGAGAATTTTCCAGAGCGTTAGCCAAAGTTGGGCTTCTAGTCAAAACCATCAAATCTAATGTTAATTAATACCTGTCACCCCAGAAAAGTGAATTTAGTCACTGCCCCTTCAACCATGTAGGTCTCAGGCATATATATGAAAAGTATATTAGTGGTTTAGTCAAATATCTCTGCCTATTCACAGATCTATCCTTTGGAAAATTCCAATCATATTTGAAACAAGAAAAAAATTGTTGTTTTAAAGTACATTTTAATTGGAAAGAAAAAGTTTACATGTAAAGACAACCAGTTCCTCAAAGCACAGACACACATTTTAGTAAATTAAAAAATTTACCCAAAGCAAAATCAACTAAAAATTAAACATTTAGTGACATCATGGAAAATGACAGGGTAAGACCTCTGAAAATTTTCTCTTCCATGAAAGCAAAACATAACTGGCAATAAATAAATAAATAAATAAATAAATAAATATTATATATATAATAACTATTTAAACTAGTTATATATATAATAACTATTTTAAACCCTAGAAATTAACCAGAGGCTTGCAACAACCTAGGGAGTGTTTATTTTGTTTTTTAAGCAAATAAAAAAAGCTGTAAGAACAGCAGCTTTGGGGCATTTTAACTTGCCTTATTCCCATCTCCACAGTAGTCTTGAAAACAAACAGCTTACAGTCACAGAGAAAACCAGTAGCCTGATAACCATAGGAGGGGGCAAAACAGCACTGAGTCTCTTTCAAAGCCCCCTTCCCAGCGCACAATCATTATGTACACTGTCTAACTCCTTGGAAGAGGTCACTCCTAACGCTGTCTATTTGAGCGGGTTCAGAGCTTGCCCAGGGGAGAAATGCCTCTTACCCTGGGACATTTGTCAAAAACAATTAGAGGCAATTGTTTAACAACATGGCACCCTGAGGCAGTATAACATTTGGGGCAAAAAATAGGCTAATCAAAAGCTTAAAAAAAAAAAGGCTAGAAAATAGAATGTCTGTAAGAACTTTGATAAATTTCAACATATTTCTGGGAATCTAGAAGGCCACGTGTATTCTTAGGACTCTGTTCTTATCCAAGGATGTATGCCTGCTCAGGAAAGATTCAAAAAGGCCCTAGACTCAGCTCTGGCTTACTTTGAAGCTATGCGCAAACAGGAAGTGAAAGTTACGGCGGAATTGCCAACTGCCTAGCTTGAGTGTTGAAAGGGTGCCCCCACACTCAAAGAGTTCTAGGAATTTAAGGAAATCTCTAATTATTAGTTTTCTAATAATTGAACTGAACAGAGCTGTCAGTGGCCATATCTGACAAAGAGTACAGAGTTATGGATTTAGTTTAGAAAAGTTTAGAAAAGAAACAACCACTAAAAAAGCAGCAACAAATCCTGAGGAGGGGAGAAATCTGATTTGCAGAATTAGCACATTATATTATTTAAAATCTCTAGCTTCAACAACAAACATTTTATGAGACATGCAAAGAAACACAAGGATTAAAAGCAATTGGTAGAAATTGCCCCCTGCGGAAACTCAGATTTTGGACAAAGGATCTTCAATAATATTCACAGCTGACTTTATTTTCAGAAACAATGAAGGCCAGCAAGCAGTGGGGTGGTATATTCAAGTACTGAAGGAAAAAGACTGTCTACCAACTACTCTATGCCCAGTAAAACTATCCTTCCAAAATGAAACAAGAAATAAGACATTTCCAGATAAATAAAAACTGAAAAAATTCATCACTACTAGGTCTGCCCCGCAATTAATATGAAAGGAAGTACTTCAGGCTGAAATGAAAGAACACCAGATGGTAATACATATCCACATGAGGAAACAGAGGATGGTAGCACAAAATTAAATTTCTTTAAACTTTATTATATAGAAACACATATGGGATTTCATGCCTTACGTTTATTCCCAGGGAAGCATGGTAGTTCAATCAACTCTGAGCACCCATTTTTATACACATTGTTTAAATAGTGTTTATTTGACTTTTACATAACACTTCAAAAGTACAGAAAATTATAATTAATGTAAAAGACACTTACACATCCACCACTGAAACTAAACAGCGTGAACACGTTGCTGTATTTGCTTCCTTTTTTTTTCAGAGGGAAAAGAATTTGTCAAACTGACTTTGGATGAATAGATATGTGAAACTAACAGTAAAATGTTCATGAGGAAGCTAGATGATGGGCATACAGGTGTTCACTGCACATTATTTTTGTATATTGGTACCTTTTCTTTATGAAATGGTAGGGAGGAAATGCACTGGACCAGGTGAAAACCCACTCCACACCCACTCCATCCTTGCATGTCCTAGAGTTGGTGTAATATTTCTGCATGTTTTTTTATACATGCGTTTATACATAAACTGTATAGAACTGTTTGTGTCTTTAAATTTTTCATAAATGGTTCATATTTTTTTCACTCCATTAAAAAATTCTGCCATTTTTTTCTGATAATACACATATGCCAATGTATTCTTTGTAATGACTATATCCCATTATATATAGAATCTGAAAGTTTGTTCATTCGTTCCCTGCAAGGCCATCTGCCCTGGGGCACTGTCACTTTCTCACTCTAACTCTCCTTACACATGCAGCTTGCCTGAGCTTGTGAGAGCTTCTGGCAATGGGGAAAGTGGGGCCTTCACAGGCACCTCCAAAAGGAACATCTTAGAGAAATGTTCCAGTGGATGAGAGAGAAAAATTAAAAATCTCTTTCAAAAAAGGTGAAAGCTTCATAGAGATGACAAAAATCTTCAAAAGAATGAAGGCAAAGGGACACCGCCTCCATGACTAAGTCCCGAATGTGGCTTCAGGAGTTGGAAAAGGCATGCAAAGTAGACTTGGGAGAAACAAAGCAAAGTTTTACTGGCAATGAACACACCATGGTGATAGATAGGCCTTCAGTATGAAAGGTCGGTAAGGACAGCCTACCAAGTGACCACTATGCTCTGGGTCACCTTTTTTTATGCTGCATGGAATATCTTTATGTCCTAAAGGTATTCAATGGTCAATCCTGAACATCCTATCTAATAAAAGAGAAACATGCAAATTGACCATAACCCCAACACCCTTCCCATTGGCTAATCAGTGAGATATGCAAATTAACTGCCAACCAAGATGGCGACTGGCAGCCAGGCAGCTGAAGCGAACAGGAGGCTTGTTTTCTCCAGTGAAGGAGGAAGCCAACGTTCCCCGCCTGCTGCTGCCGGCCTCTAAGCTGCAGTCTAAGAAACAATGTTGAATTATAGAAGTTAAATAAACCCCAGAAACCTGCTTTCAGCTGTCAGAGCTGGAGCTAGCAGGACGGCAGCAGTGTTACAATTATAGAACCCAAACAAACCCAGATACCTGCTTTCAGCAGCTGAGGTCTCAGAGCTGGAGCCGAGCCTCAGAGCTAAAGCCGGCTCTCAGTTCCAGTGTCAGCCGTAGGAGGTAAATAAATCCCAGAATAAAAAAAAAAAGAAAATAAGGAGAGGCTGGGAGCTTCAGTCACCCTGCCCTCAGCCCCTCATCCAGACTGGCCAGGCACCCCAGTGGGGACCCCCACCCTGAAGGGGGTGTGACCAGCTGCAAACAGTCATCATCCCCTCATCCAGGCTGGCCAGGAACCCAAGCGGGACCCCCACCCTGATCCGGGACACCATTCAGGGCAAACCAGCCGGTCCCCACCCGTGTACTAGGCCTCTATCCTATATAGTAAAAGGGTAATATGCAAACTTACCCTAACAGCAGAAGGACTGGGAATGACTGGTCACTATGACACACACTGACCACCAGGGGGCAGACGCTCAATGCAGGAGCTGGCCCCTGGTGGTCAGGGTGCTCTCGCATGGGAGGAGCTCTGCTCAGCCACAAGCCAGGCTGATGCTGCCAGTATAGCGGTGGTGGGGGGGAGCCTCTCCTGCCTCCTCAGCAGCACTAAGGATGTCCAACTGCAGCTTATGTCTGCTCCCTGCTGGCAAGTGGGCATCCCCCGAGGGCTGCCGGGCTGCCAGAGGGATGTCTGATTGCCATCTTAGGCCCAATCCCCCGGGGAGCGGGCCTAAGCCAGCAGGTGGTCATCCCCTGAGGGGTCCCAGACTGTGAGAGGGCACAGGCCGGGCTGAGGGACCCCCTCCCACCCACCCTCCCGAGTGCACAAATTTTTGTGCACCGGACCTCTAGTCCTATATAATAAAAGGCTAATATGAAAATCGACCAAACAGCAGAATGACCAGTTGCTATGATGCGCATTGACCACCAGGGGGCAGACACTCAATGCAGGAGCTGCCCCCTGGTGGTCAGTGTGCTCACACAGGGGGAGCGCCGCTCAGCCAAAAGCTGGGCTGACGGCTGGCTAGTGCAGCGGTGGTGGCGGGAGCCTCTCCCACCTCTGCGGCAGCACTAGGATGTCCAACTGATGGCTTAGTCCCGCGTGGACCTAAGCCAGGGGTCGGCAAACTTTTTGACTCTAGGGCCACAATGGGTTCTTAAACTGGACCGGAGGGCTGGAACAAAAGCATGGATGGAGTGCTTGTGTGAACTAATATAAATTCAAAGTAAACATCATTACATAAAAGGGTACGGTCTTTTTTTTTTTTTAGTTTTATTCATTTCAAACGGGCCGGATCCGGCCCGTGGGCCGTAGTTTGCCCACGGCTGACCTAAGCCATCAGTCGGACATCCCCCGAGGGCTCCTGGACTGTGAAAGGGCACAGGCCAGGCTGAAGGGAACCTCCCCTCCGCCTTCAGTGCACGAATGTCGTGCACTGGGCCTCTAGTTTTTTATAATAAATTAAATCTCTCACAATTCCTGTTCACATTTACTATTATATTTAACACTTAAAATAATAGTACTGCCAAGGCACTATTCTTATTTTACAGAGAAATACATATCCACATGAAGAGACCCAGACTGGGTAAAGAGCTTGACCAGGGCCACATTGAGTTTCCGAGCTGCAAAGGCCAGTACAGCCGACTGACACTGGTCATTCCAGGCACGGGCCTCACAGAGAGCCTCTGGGCAGGAGGCTGCTGGACCACGATGCCACGGTCAGTGGACACACAGAGCCTGAGGGTGCACCCAGAGGAGGTGGCATGGGGAAACCTCACATGGTTGCACAAGAAGCAGAGCAAAAACGTATTACAATGCTTTTTTGTAACCTTGGCTACTATCACTATAGTTTCCAGAAAAAAATGTTTTTCTAAACCTTCAGAGCGTCGCCCGGGTGTCCGCTTCCATCTGCCAGCTTCCTCCGCGCCGCACCCCACGCTCCACACCCCGCGCCCCGGCTGTCTCGGAGCCCAGGAAGCCCTGCCTCGCGGAGAGCGCACCTCGGGGAGCCGGCGTGGTTTTCTCCTGTTGAGAGCTTTGTTTTTAGGGAGGAAAGGTGCTACATTGCAGCAAGGCCACTGCAAAGAGCAGCAGTACTCACCGGTCGTGGAGGGCAGGGACCTTGGAAGGACAGCGCAAATACTGCTTGAACCGGAGCTCAAAGGCTTGTCCGATGGCGCCGATGACGTCCTGGGCCAGCCCGTCGCAGCACTCCAGGATGTGGCAAGCTGTGGGAGCAGTGCGCAGGCCCGTTAGAGGCACCCGGAGCGCCAGCCCCTGCCCAGCAGCCCTCCTGAGGGAGGAACCGTCAACCCCAGTGAGGAAAGGGGGTCAGGGGGTGCGTGTGTCCTTCTTAATGTGTCCCGGGGCTCCACCTGCAGCTGAACCCCAGGGCCACCATCGGATGCATTCCCCAACAGCCTGTTCTCGCTAAAATTAAAAATCAATCCCTTGTGACAGGAGCCCGCCATCCCTCCAGGTCACACTGTCCTGTGACCCGGCTGCGGCACATCCACATGGAACCTTCAGAGAAAGGAGGGTCGCGTGGGGAAAGGCAAGAGAAGGCCCCGCCTCTGCTCTCGAGGTAGTGACTGCCCGTGGCATCCCACCGAGCGCCAGCCTCTCCCGTCCCCAGGCACACGATGCGGTCCAGGCTGATGGGACAGGGCTCTCCCTGGAGGAGACAGGCGTGTCCCACTTCACCTTTCTCTGGGCTGCAGCTCGCATGTAAGTGCATTTAGGGAGGCTCGTCCTGGAGCACGGCAGGTGCCCAGCGGGGAGGAGGCATTCCCGCAGGGTGCTCTCCACGACAGAGGGCCCCCCCCCCCCCCCCCCCCCCGAACATGCTCCGGCCAGGAGGAGTGGGAAACGGGCAGGAGGGGCAGAGACCGCACTGCCTGGAAGTTGGGTGACCTGCAGCGCGATGCTGCCTTCTCTGCACAGAGCCAGTGGCGCTCCCCTGGGTGGCAGCTGCCAGGCCACCCCCAGCTGGAGGGGCTCAGCCCTGAGGACTCAGGGAGCACTGCTAGGAGGAAAGGGCCTGCCCTGCACTGTGGCCGCCATGCAGTCCTCGGACAACTAGGCCTGACAAGGGATGGTCCCAGGAGACTACGTCCCAGCTGTATTTTCGTTATTGACCACTGAGATTAGCTGTTAAGTATCAGCCCACATGGGCACAAGCAGCGCCTGTGACACAGCTGTTAGGGTGCCAGTTACCGGCCGGCTGACAGGAACGTCCATTTCTTTCCAGCTGAAGGGAAGGAGGAGCCAAGGCTGGTGAGGGAAAGACAGCTGGTCCCCCCACACCCCAATTTCCAGCCCCACAACCCAGCCCCAGCATTGGCAGCAGCCACCGGAGTGGCTGGCCGTCCTTTGGAAAACCAGAATACAGACCGGAAGGGGACCATGTGACCCTCTGGGGTAAGAAGGTCAAAGTCAAGGGCCCAGCAGGTGCCAAGGCCCTGAGACAGGTGCTGCCTTGCTGTTCAAGGAAGAGCCAGCAGTCTGAGGAGCTGGAGGCAGGCGGGAATGGTGGGGAATGAGGCAGGTGAGAGCAGGACTGAGCTCGCTAGGGCCCTGTGCACGGTGATGAGACTAGCACCACGTGGAGGGAGGAAAGGCAGACCTGTGGCTTGTCGGTGTGTGGGGCTGTGAGACTTCTGCGTGCAGAGTGCGCAGGCGCCGGCTCTCAGCCAGAGCCCAGCGGGACGGGCATTCAGAGTGTCTGGCACAGGATGTCGAAAGCCCAGGGCCTGGCTTGTTTGTACAGTCACTGTTGACAACAGCTAAGTGTGGAGCAGCCTAAATGTGCACTCACAGGAAACCCACCCCCAGCTTAAAAAACAACAAACACACCATCGCTCCCCCTCTCCCACCCCGCCACCCCGTGCAGGTGAGGTTTTGTCTAAGCAGGAGTGGGAGTTAGAGCAGGTGCTGTGCTGTTTGCCCCCGGTGACATCAGAGCGTGTAGGCGTTTCCCGGGAAGTCACCTCCTGGGCCCTACCACTGCCCAAGGCTAGAGCAGCCCAAACTCTGTTGAAACAATCCCCTGCTGTTAGAGAAGCAGGGAGTGGGCAGGCGTGGCCACTGGAGGCAGCATCCCCATGCGGGTTTCCTGCCCAGGCCGTTCACCAAGGTTCCCATACAACTCGATGGCGTGGGTCAGAGGCCTTTCGCCTTCCACCAGAGTAACTACAGAAGCATGGATTCTTAACACCGGGTTCTCACTGTAAATAACTTCTAGCTAAACCCAAAGACATGCAAAAATGCATAGGCAGGAATCATCATGGAAACTCTGACCCAAATCTGAAGGATTTTGACAGAAGGCTTTCTGGGACCCAGGTGTATCTTGACACCTGCCCGCCTTGAGGAGCTGTGCCTGCTGTCACGGGACCATGCCGGCACATCCACTGGGGCTCTGCTGGGGAGTGAGCTATCTAAGAGCCCAGACAAGACATTTACTATTTACTCCCAGAATGTCTTGCTAATCTGACTCTGAATGGCAGAGGCCATTCTTGCTGCATTAACCTCGCTGCCTGGTCGGGGGGTGGGGGGTTGGGGGTTGCGGAGAACAGCAGCTCCTCACTAGAAGGGGGTAACTGGGATGGACACATGAGCTGAGGCAAAGCATGCTCCGAGATCTTGTTCATGGCGAAACCGTGAGCCCTTCCCTGCACCGAGGCTGGGCCTGCTGTGGGGACAGAGCCCTGGTGCAGGGAAGGCTGCAAACTCCCGCAGAGGGTGGGTCTGGGCCCTCCCTGGACCGGAGCTGTGGCTGCTGACAGTACACGTGGCCGGACTGGGGCTGTGCCTGGCCTTTCGGAGGCCTGGAAGCTTCCCCTTTGGTGTCTCAGAGCCAAAAGCTGCCAGGTGAGAAGTCCTGCGCCCTGATAGCCCCTCGGGCTCCCTGGGGAAGGAAAGGCTCAGACACCTTGGCCATCTGGTCATCCCTACAAGGTATCAGGCATGGAAGCGAAGTAAACTTGGACCCTCTGGACCAGGCCAGCCACCAGCCCAAGTCCACCCCGTGCCCCCACTGGTGCCACACAGAGCAGGAGAGTCGGCCGGCTGAGCCCTGTGGGATCCTGGCACTTAATCTGAAGTGACAGGTGATAGGTAATTGGCAGGAAGGAGTGTGCATCCCCCACCAAGTATCTCAAAGGGCCCCGTGACAGGGTGCCCCAGCACTGCCGTGTGCAGGGCCAGTATTCGCCTCACTGGCACCGCACGCTGCCCCTAGGGGAGCCAGGCACAGCGTCCATGGGATGTGGAATAGAATCTGATTTCCATGGCTGTGAAAAGGCCCTGTGGACAAAGGCACTCCTGGGCGTGGCTCTGAAATGAGACAGCAGCCTGCACACTTCCATGACCCCAAGTCCGACTGCACTGGGTCCAGCCCCTCCCTCCGGAGCCTGGTTCCTGCCACGCTGCGTGGGGCCACCTGGAGGGCTGTGAAAAGGCTCCCTGGAGGGCTGGCTCTCGGAGGCCTGAGCCCTGAGTTGCCAAAGCTCCCCTAGGTGACTCTAAAGTGTAGCTCACTGAGAGCCACTGACCAAGGGGTCCCTGAGGACGTCAGAAACGTATAGGACTGATCGAAGTTGACTTCAACAACCGTTAACCCCAGGCGGAAACTGAATTCTGTGCTGGGGAGGTGCAGTCTGCCCCTCCCCCTCCCAACCTCGTGGGACTTCGGGGTGGTTGAAGGGTTGGCCTCTGTCATGGGTTAGTGTCCTCAGTGAGAGATGTGGCCTTCGTCGGAAACAGGGCTGCTGCAGACTGACTAGCTAGGACGAGGTCAGCTGGACGGGTGGGACTGACCCAGCACATCTGGTCCCTGTGAGGTGGCCCCGGGAAGCCAGAGGCACATTCAGGCTCCGGCCATGAGAGGGCTGAGGGCGTGGGAAGGCACCCGCATGCCCAGGGGGCAGGCACCCGCCTGGAAGCTGGAAGAGGCAGGAAGGACTCTGCCCTGCAGCCTCCAGGTTGGCAGCTGACCTGAGTTCCGCCTCCGGAGCTGGGAGACAGGGGCCCTGTTGCTGTGAGGCTCCTGGCTTGTGGCGTTTGTACAGCAGCCCCAGCAAACGGAGAACACAGCCTCCACCTGGGCGGAGGAGCTGGCGCTGAGCTGCCCTAGCCTGCCCTCTCAGACAGTCACGTGCATGTTATGTAAGGCCCTTGGCATCGCTCCTCAGACCCGTTACGTAAGGGCTGCTTCAGTTCAGACGTGGTCAGCCAGAGCTTGTTAGCAAGGGGGGCTGGGGACAGTCCTCAACTCACCCAGATCCTCTTGTCCCTGTTCCATCCACCCTGAAATCTTTGTCCTTATCCTGGCTCTGGGTTAGGAGTGACAATGTGGCGATTAGAGGACGTTATCTGCATTAAAATACCTCATCTATGAACCCCCAGACACCCCAATGTCAGCTTCTAGGGGAGCCCCAACATACCTGGAGAAGAATGACAGCCAACACTCTGTAAGATCGCACCTTCATTCCCAAGACAGAAAAGGCCGCTCCACCAACCACTGCTTTCCAGCCCAGGGCTGGGAAAGTCTCCAATGGAAAGCGCCCTCACTCACTTACAAGGCACCGCAAACGTCCCACCAGTCTGCATGGTCATTTGCAAGGTGTAGTGATGCGTCAATCACCCAGCCTTTCCCCTACACACGCCTCATTAGGGGCCACAGAACATGCGGGAAGGAAACGCAGCCCCAGGGCTCCATAGAACTGAGGGCAGATGGCGGTGAAGCCGCGTCCTGGTCTCTCTAGGCTGGCTTGGAAATGGAATGCTAAGATCTCATTTGTATTGAAATGTAAAAAGAAGAAAGTATGTGTGTAAGTACCTGAATAAACTGCTGCCCACTAGAAAAACGTCGGTACCGGGTGCTGGGTGGGAAGAGAGGCAGCCAGTGGGTGGGCGAGGGAAGCATCGCTTTGTGCTGTGTCGACGCCTCTGGTGATGGTGGGGGGAGGTCGGAATTGGAGTTGCTGGCGAACCAGTGGCCACCTGGTATTTCAGGGAGGCACCCTTCGTCGGCCCACCCCCAGGCTTATGAGCCTCGGTGAGTGGGGCTTGGTTTTAAGTGGTAAATCGGGGTGGTGGTGTGCAAGGAGAGTCTAGGAGTATGGGCCCGTGAGGAGAGAAAGCACTGGAATGCCTCGGGCCCCAGACCCCACCGGGGCAGCTCCGAGGGGCAGGGGGTGACAGCACCTAAGCCTGGACACCGGCCCTGTGCGGGGCAGCACCCGGCTCCTGGGAGACTCGGCAGAGGACACCGGAGCTCAGCCCGTCCAGGCGGCTGATCTGTAGTCCTCTGTGCGCAACGGGGCCACTTTCAAGGTCTGAGGGCTGCGGCCTGGGGGGCAGGTGCTGCGAGCACACTGGCCGGTACAGGTGTGCGTTTGGAGCTCACAGGCCCAGCCAGGTGTGCCGCGCGCATCACCGCCTGCGACCCTCAATGACCATGAGTGGTGCGAGGTGCACTGGCTCACGGCGAAAGGGCTGAGCTGAGGGGCACGTCTGTGTGAACCTCCAGGGTCGAGCCTGTGTGTTTGAGGAGATGCCAAGGGTCAGGCATTGCTTACCTCTGCGGTTAACAGGGTCCTTCGCTACGTACGCAACGTAGTCCGTTGTGTCCTGTCAAAAAAGTCAGACATCCACGTCACTACAGTGCACAGAGCAGCTCAGGGCGACATGCCGGCCAAACAGCCCCTGGGGCGGCCTTTCTCACACCGCACCATGGCACGGCGGGGATCGCGGGCACCTTGTGAATTGCAGATTCGGGTGGGGGAGGGCGCGGATCACTGAGGAGCTTTAAGAACAGTCTCAGCTCCCAGGAAACCTGATTTATGAATTGGGCGTGAGGCCTGGGGATGGGGATGTTTGAAAGCTGCCCAGTCCGACAGCGCCCACAGCTCTGTTACCATGACCACCCCGTGCCAAGTGCCCCTTCGCCTGTGTAAGCACCAGCTGTCCCCGAACTCCTCCCCAACAGGAAGCTGAGTGGCTCGGGGCCCTGCACTCTCCTACCTGCTCTCCACTGTGGGATATGACACCTCCTGGTGACAGTGTTGTTCAACTCCAAAACTGTCCTATTTCTCAATGGCATCAGCATCTGACAGTTTAAGGTTCAGATAGGCCACTTACTGATTTTATGATCAAGGGCCTTATGCAAACCTTACATACTCGTGGGTACCCAGCAAATGTTTATTTTCCCCCTGTCACTGGAGCTGGTGTCAGACCCCTTGCAGGGCTCGAACACAGACTGCACAGTCCCGCCCAGGGCTTCGGTGCGCTGGGCCCGAGGGGAGGCCACAAAGGGGTGCTTTAGGCAAGGCCGCAGGTGCTGCTGCTGCCGCTGGCCTGGGCCTCCCTGAGAGCTGCTGGTAGGGGACACCCAGCAGGGGGTGCTCCATGGTTCTTTTTTTTTTTTTTTGAACATAAGTAGTCATTTTATTTATTTATTTTTTTAATCTTTATTGTTCAGATTATTACAGATGTTCCTCTTTTATCCCCCCTAGCTCCCCTCCACCCGGTTCCCACCCTACTCCAGGCCTCCCCCACCCCCCACTGACCTCGTTCATAGGTAAGCTCTTTGTCCAGTCTCTTCCTGCACCCCCCACTTCCCCTTCCCCCTGAGAATTGTCAGTCTGCTCCCTTTCCATGCCCCTGATTCTATTACCTTCACCAGTCTGTTCTGTTCATCAGGTTTTTTATTCATTTGATTTTTAGGTTCACTTGTTGATAGATATGTATTTGTTGTCACTTTGTTGTTCATAATTTTTTCTCTTTACCTTTTTCTTCTTTGAGACTACCTTTCAGCATTTCATATAATGCTGGTTTGGTGGTGATGAACTCCTTTAGCTTTTTCTTGTCTGTGAAGCTCTTTATCTGACCTTCAATTCTAAATGATAGCTTTGCTGGGTAGAGTAATCTTGGTTGTAAGTTCTTGCTATTCATCACTTTGTATTTTTCTTGCCACTCCCTTCTGGCCTGCATAGTTTCTGTTGAGAAATCAGGTGATAGTTGTATGGGTGTTCCCTTGTAGGTAACTAACTGTTCTGCTCTTGCTGCTTTTAAGAGTCTCTCTTTGTCTTTTGCCCTTGGCATTTTAATTATGATGTGTCTTGGTGTGGTCCTCTTTGGATTCCTCTTGTTTGGGGTTCTCTGTGCTTCCTGGACTTGTAAGTCTATTTCTTTCACCAGGTAGGGGAAGTTTTCTGTCATTATTTCTTTTAATAGGTTTTCAATATCTTGCTCTCTCTCTTCTTTTGGCATCCCCATAATTCGGATGTTGATACACTTGAAGTTGTCCCAGAGGCTCCTTACACTATCTTTGTATTTTTGGATTCTTTTTTCTTTTTGCTTTTCCGGTTGGGTGTTTTTTGCTCCTTCATATTTCAAATCTTTTACTTGATTCTGGGATCCTCTAGTCTGCTGTTGAATCTCTGTATATTATTTTTTATTTCAGTCAGTGTATACTTAATTTCTGATTGGTCCTTTTTCATATCCTTGAGGGTCTCACTAAATTTCTTGGATGTTTCTAGAAGATTCTTGAGTAATCTTATAACCATGGTTTTTTAACTCTATATCCAGTATTTTGCTTCCATCCATTTCTTTCATTTGTGACTTGTTTCTTTGTCTCCACATTTTGGCTGCTTCCCTGTGTTTGTTTCTATGTACTGGGTAGCTGCTGAGTCTCCTTGAGTTGATAGAGTGGCTTTGTGTGGTAGGTGTCCTATAGGGACCAGTGGCTCAGCCTCTTCAGTCACCTGACATGGATGCTCTTGGTGCACCCCTTTGTGGGCTGTTTGCACAGTCTTGTTGTAGTTAACCCTTGATTGCTGTTGGTATCACTAGGAGGAAATGACCTCCAGATCAATTGGCTATGATGACCAGCTGTGTCTATACTAGAAGATCAGTTGCACAGGAGACACCCTTATAGAGCAGGACTTGCTTAGTGGGGCTTTGGTGCTCACTGAGTCTGCCCCTTGAGTATGTCTCTTATGGATGTGAAGAGTTGTAATCCAGTATGGTCTCACTCTGACCACTGGGTACACTGGCCCTTGGATCTCTAAGGAGGTACAAGGTCAGCCACTTCTGGGGCCACCCAGCAGGAGCTACAGAGACATCTGCAGATTCCTCCTCTTTGAATGGGGTTTGGAAGTGCCCAGCTGGGAAGCAAGGCAGGCTGTTGCTGCCAGGCCTTGGGCCTCCTTTTGGAAGCTCTGGGGCTCTCTGACCCAGCTGGAGTTTGACAGGTTTTAGGCAGAGTAAAGACAGGCCATTCATATGCAAAAGCCGATGCACACAGCTTGGGTGGGGTTGTAAATTGGGTGGGGCAGGGTCTCTGGGAATCACCAGGGCAAAGCAAACAGCAATGGCAGACAGTCAGCCCTGCACTGGAGAGGTCCCCAGGTCTCTGCGTCCTGCACTTCTATGCAGGAACAATGATCGCTTTGAGCACCTCTGAGAGAAAGCCGCGCTCGCGTTCCTGTCCCAATGCCAGACAGTCCAGTTTCTCCCTGTCTGAGTCCCCCAGAGTCTCACCCAGAACTGGAGTTCAGAGCAACTGGGAGCTTGTATCTCCCTCCCTATTAAAAAAGCAGCACATCCAGGTGCCAGCACTTTCTGCGCCTCCACACCTCTTACCGGTCTCAATGCGCTTTCTTCACCTCTCTAGTTGTGGAACTTCCACTCAGCCAGCCTTCCTGTGGTTCTGGGTGGTAGTTGTTCTGCCTTTTAGTTGTTATTTTGATGTGGTTGTGAGAGGCAGCAAGTATAGGTGCTTACCTATGCCACCATCTTGGTTCTCTCTATAAGTAGTCATTTTAATTGTTTCGAATATATGAGCTGGATCCCTACGCATGAAACCTGTGTCTCCTTGCCTACCTCCCATTTAAGCAGGGCACAGACTCTACAGCCTCAGCAGTGGGCCCTGGTGGCCACGTGGATTTCAGTTTCTAAACAGTCACAGGGACCAATAATCCTCTCATTTCATGCAAGCAGAGGAGACTTCTCTGCAGGGGTTGGGGGCCTGGAAAGGTCTGTCCCATTAGTACAGACAGCTCCCACCATCGGTGAAGACAGCTCCCACCATTGGTGCAGACAGCTCCCCAGGGCCCCTGCTCCGCAGAGCTGCATGGCATGGCTCAGGGCCCTGGTGTTAGCAGCTGGGAGAGTCTGTGGTGAGCGCCTTCACTGTTAGGTCCTTCTCTTTCCATGGGGCTAACGGAAACCCTCAGTGAGGGGGTGGCAGAGGGAGCATGCCTGCGGGTGGGCGTACAAGGCTATGGAGCACTCCCTGCAGGGTGGTGGGTGGTGAAGATGTTGACTCATACCCTTGTCCCAGAGCTCACAATGACACAGTACAACCAAGCAGGGGAGAAGAGCTCCCCCAGCAATGGGCTGTGACACCAGGGCCCTTCTCCAGTGTGCAGCCCAGCTCAGCCATGTGCTCTTCCCACTCAGAGTACTGGCCATCGGTATATTCACAGACTGACGTGGGGAAGGGAGTAAGAGACAGTCAAACCAGTCCACCTGCTTCCAGTCATTTCCATGAGGAAGACCTGGTAAGACTCTGAAGCCATTGGCAAAAATAAGGCTTGTCGCTTGCAATCAGAGACCCTGTTCCTGGATCCAGGAGAGTCACTGTCAGGAGGTTCCTCAGGGAGCACTCATGTTTCTCAAACTGAGATCCATGAAACCTAGGGCTGGGCAGGTATCTCCCCCTGCATTTGAGACGTCACCAAAATTTCCTTTTAATTCTGTATTTTCATTCCCATGATAATCGTCAAGTTAATATAAGAATATTCGGGGTCATCTGGATGACCACCAGGGCATCGTGTGCGGCATGCAGTTCTAGTGCCAAGATTTTTAGTTGGGTTTCCAACATCATGGTACCACATTCTTAAAAAATTAGGTAGAAAAGGACATCATCTAATCATAAAGACTAGATGCCTTTGCCCCACCTGAAGCAAATTACTGTCACATTTACACACAAGGATGTACCAGTAAGGGTTTGCTGGAGTAGAAGAAATTAGTGGGGGAACTGAGTCTCTGGCACTGAGGAGAGATGCCGACCTCAAGATTCTGAGGGACCACGGTGGCCAGTCTGGCTTCACGCTGAGAGCAGAGACTTCGTGTCAGCAAAACGTTATCCATCACAGTAAATTAACGCTATCGGCTTTTCCTGTGTTTGTTAGTAATCTCCCCAGTTTGATTGGGGTTTGCAGTTCAATAAAAAGTATAACATTGCACTCGCCAGTTTGGCTCAATGGATAGAGCATCAGCCTGTGAATCCCTGTCAAAAGCATGTACCTCAGTTGCAGGCTAGATCCCAGCCCTGGTTGGTCGTGTGCAGGAGGCAACCAATCGATATGTCTCTCTCACATCAATGTTTCTCTCTCTGTCTGTCCCCCTCCCTTGCACTCTCTCTCACTAAAAATCAATGGAAAAATACGCTCAAGTGAGGATTAACAAGAAATAAAATGTATAGCATGGGAGTCTATATTTTATTTTTGTACATATTTGGGTAACAAACTTAATTTGAGTCAACACTAGTGGAATACACAAGAAAATTCTTCTTTTGAAATTCTTATTCCAACCTGAGAAAGTCTGCTCAGATGTGAGGTGTCCCTGTCACTCCGATGGCCAGTGATCAAGCCAGGACATAGCTTTCCTGATCCAATACTATTTCTGTAGCACAGTGGGGGGTGTATGACTATTCAAAACAATGTTCCTGACATCACACCGTGAGCACATGGAGTCCCAGAGGTGGGCCCAGCACGTGTTCAGTGTTTACCATCTCTGCTCTCACTCGCCGAGAGTCTCTGAGCCTGGCCGGCATTCATTCTTTCGTGGTCTTTTAACACTGCTAATCATGTAGATTATAATGCATGTGTGCCTTTTTTTCTTGGAGGGATTAACAGTGTTTTCCAACTTGTCTTATTTGACATTTCAAAATATTATTTTCTAACCTGGTAAACTGAGGCACCGAGCAATTAGTAGATATACACGTGGCAACAGAACAATGACTAGAACCTAGAACTTTTGGGTTTGTTTAAAACACCCACCAACTGTAATAACTATCAACCAAGTTGGTATGGAATTCATAGACAATGTGATGTATACTTGGACTGGTTACAGGGGCAGCGGAAAGTAATTCATACGCTTTTATGTTCTTGCCGATTTTTTCTGATAGATGTTTCTCTCTCTGTCTGTCTGACAGAAAAAATCAGCAAGAACATAAAAGCATATGAATTACTTTAAGGGTCTCTGAAGGCTTCCCTTTCCGAGGAAGAAGTGATGGGGAAGCTGAGGAAAGCTCACAGGCCTGTGTGCACCCTAGGGATACACTGGTTCCCACACAGGACAATGCGTTTGGCTTCCCGGTTGCTCCATCATCGCGGGATGAGGACTGAGACAGGCTCCGGAGAGGACTGTCAGCGCAGGCGGCAGCGTTTCTGCCTTTTATGTTTCAAACTGGGCCAACTGCCAAATTTAAGAAGCTGTGGTTCCAAGCGTCACATGCGGCAACCCAGTAGAAGGCCACTGGCAGTTCAGTAGAGCCAGACACAGCACAGGTGCAGGCATCAGTGCGGATGCGGGCCGGCCGTGCAGGCAGAGAGGAGGTGCGCATGCACCTTGGGGCATAACCCTCAAGAGTGCACCAATGGTGGGTTCGACTATGGAAGACGTCACCTTCTAAACATACTTTATAGTAAAACATAAAGCAATGCTGATGCATGTGTGATGCCCTCAGGTGCTGCAGGAGCTGGGGGGGGGGGGGGGCAGGGTGCTGGTTCCCCTGTAGGAAGACACTCCGCCGTGATCACACGCCCTTTGGAGACGCAGAGACTGGAGCCAGCAGTGGAAAGCACTCCCTTGCTTCAGCTGTCCATGTGCCAACAGCAGTTCAGCAGTCAGGCTGCCCAGGGGGAAGGGGCTGGGAGGACAGGGCTGTCCGGTAAACGTGGGCTTGGGAAGAATTCCCTGCCTTGGGACAGGAGTAATATATCCACCAATCACTCAGGCGACCTTGGGCCAGTAAATTTTATTTAAAATCTGAGCATTGCTTACTGATAATTGGACAAAATAATACAAAACAACAATTATAGCACTTATACCGCTATAAGCCACCATTCTTTTATTATAAAAAAATTTTAACAGCAAAAGGACATCTTCCCAGGATATTGAACAATTTAATTGATTAAACTTAGCTCCAAGAAAAGCTCACTCTTTTGTCCTAATTTTTAGATGTTTCCCTGGGGTGATAACTTTAAGCAGACCAATGAAAAGTAAGTGAGAACATTTGGGGAGCCTTTCTCCGCTCGCTGCTGGCGGGGCTGTGTGTGTTTTCTACCGGCTCCCTCTGCACCTCCCTCCTCGTGGCCCATCCCTGCCCGGGCTTCTTCAAAGGGCTGGACGGTCCGCGGTGAACGGTGACGGCAGTGAGTGTGCCGGCATGGCCCTGCGTCCTGCCTCCCTGACACTGAGAGTGACCGCTAACACTGGAGCGTCACGTTCCTGACCACACGTGGGGAGCAAACCCCTTGTTATTGCACCTTCTTCATGAAATAAATGATGCAAAAACAGAACATTCCCATTTTATCCTGTCTCCCTCTTGGTCTCTGCAACTCCTTCCCTGTTGGCTAAACAAACCATTAAGAGGCTACAGCAGGGGTGGGCAAACTTTTTGACTCGAGGGCCACAATGGGTTCTTAAACTGGACCGGAGGGCCGGAACAAAAGCATGGATGGAGTGTTTGTGTGAACTAATATGAATTCAAAGTAAACATCATTACATAAAAGGGTACGGTCTTTTTTTTTTTTAGTTTTATTTATTTCAAACAGGCCGGATCCGGCCCATGGGCCATAGTTTGCCCACAGCTGGGATACAGTGTTAGATTTGGAGAGAAAAATGCCAATTTCAAATATTTATGAACAAACTAGACCAGGGGTGGGCAACCCCCGGCACGTGTGCCAAACATGGCATGCCAGTAACTTTTGCTGGCACGCGAAACCCTCTCTTATAATCTTCCATTTACAATTTTTTTCTTAATATTGACTTTTTTATTTTTTAGATAAATTCAGTGTAGATGCATCTTAGCTAAATAAATAATTTTACATAACAAGTTATCTTAAAGACCATAGACATGGATTAATGAGAGAGGGGAAGAGCAATTTCTATGCCTCTGCCTTAACTCTCCCTGCCTCCCTAGATCCGACCAGTGTTTTGGTTTCATCCACATACGCTTGTGAATCTTTGTTCTCAGTGATGAATTTTGTTAAGTCTCGTAATAGGAGTAGCCTGACGGATGAAAGTAGTAGCTCGTGCATATCTCTGAAGGTCACAAAATATAAGCCTGATGTAAAATCTCTGTCATCAGTGATGCAGCAGCAAAAGTCCCACTGATAATATCAAGTGGAGTCATAAAGTTTTCTGTCGGACTATCAGTGTACATGTATACATTAAAAAATAAATGTATTTTTCATCATCATATGCTGTGTTTTTGTCGCTTGAATGGATTTTATAATTTCTTCAAGGTTCTTCACATACGTACACCTTAAGAGATATCAAGTAGGTGTAACATGTTCTCAAAAAATTAGGGCTGGCACACAGAAGAATTTTGAGTCAGAGATTTTGCTGGTTTTGGCACGCACTCACAAAAAGGTTGCCCACCCCTGAACTAGACTAAGTAAATTCATAGCCTTTGAGTAGACTTATATTTAAAAACAGAGGACCTGGTGGAGGCCCAGTGGAGAAACAGGAACCAAGCAGGGCAGACCGTCAGGAGGCTGACACGTGGCGACTCCCATTACCTCTTACTGGTAAGAAAACCAGTGCCTCAAGGGTTGTCAACGGAGCTTGGCTAACTAAGTGACAGTTTAAGCATTCTTGATAGCACCCTAAGGAGCGCACCTCGGAAGCAGGGCCCCTTCCCAGCCACTCCCAGCAAGATGAAGAGAAAACAACGCCAAGGGCACTTACCGGGTCACCCCCAGAGGCGAAGGAGATGGACTGCATGTGGTGATTCGCTATAATCTGTCAGGCCCGAGACAAGAAACGAGACGTGCCATCAGTGCTCTTCCCACGTCTTGGAAAACCAACCGTTGACAGGCAGTACGAATCAGCAAGGCTCCCCAAAACTCGGTAACGCTGTTCCCCAATGAACATAACTACTAGAAAAGCAATAGCGCAGCACGTCCGCTGCTCATCTAGCAGCTTTGCCAAAATGAGCTCCTATAAGCTCCACGGTAGCCCTGGAAGGAGCTATTGAAGCCCATTTCACAGATGGGGAGCCTGCGGCCCAGAGGGGCCAAGTGGTTTCTCAAAGTACCACAGCCAGTAATGGTCAGGGCCGTGGCCCAATACAGAGGGTCTTCGCGACCATGCGTCTTTGAGAAGGAAAATGTCTCACCCACACACCAAAACATTCAGCTGTGCAGTGTCAGTTCCCAAGGACACGTGGGGTCCTCAGTGTAGACTCGTAGCTGGAGTGGAGGGAAATGTGTCTGCCCCAATTCAGCCCATTTACATCATGTGCGCATATATTGCAAAGTCCTCATCCAAGATCAAAATTGGCGCCCTAATAGGCACTCTCGTAATTTATCAATTTAAGAGCCAGCAAAGACATTCCAAGTTCATCTTTAAATGGGAAATTTCCATTAGCATTATAGACTGCAGGGTACAGTGGAATTTAGCAGACGCTGAGTAAATTAGAAGCTGCACTAAATTTAAAATATAAGTCTTCCACGCTACTTTTATATTTTTAAAGACAATGTAATGACATTGAAGTAAATTGCTGGGGGTGGGAACAATCCTCCCTCCCATCATAATCAGGTTTATTTCTACTGGGCCCCCTCAGGCCCTGGCGGGCGGGCAGTCAGAGCTTACAGAGCTGTAATCCTACCGTCCTGGGATTTTTCCAGCCATGCTCCTATAAAACCGAAGCAGAACCATAAATGAAGTGTAAGATAAAATATTTTTAAGTGCCTACTTCAGTTTTCAGGACATGCAATACTACTCAGGATCTAGAAAAATCGGAGCATATAGTGCTTACGTTTGAGGGAGAGTCAAAAGTTAACCACGGATTTTTGACTGCACAGGGGCGGCTCCCCTAACCCAGGCATTGTTCAAAGGTAAACTGTATACAAATAAAAACATGAGTCCAGCTCTGTAGCCTGTGCCCAAGCCCAGGGGGATCAAACTACTAGTTGGCTTTTGCAGCTCTCCGGAATCCTGCCTCAAGTCCAGGGGTGGAGGGCTCCGGGGAGCAATGAGGACACAGTAACCCCCAAATGATGATAAAGCTACAACTTCTAAAATTACATTTTGCTTATTTAACTTTTGCTTATTTAATTTTTACTAACTTAATCTTCTTAACAAAGCAGTGCTAAAACTGGGGTTTGGAAATCAAAGTGGACACTAAGATTGAGGGGAAAATAGAAATCATATTCGGTCAGCACAGTGCCTAGCCATTATGTGTGAGTGCATGCTATCCCGTTGGCTAAGAGAACTGAAGAGGAGAGCTAACTAACTGAAAGCATGCATTTTTGCTCTAAGGCTGTTTCATCTTTTTCTTCTCCTTGAGAGCTCTGCAGAGGGGAGCGGGCACTGCCTCCTGCTCTCTCTGCGTTGGGAGGGAGTGTCCTCTCAGCTTGCTCTCAGTTTGCTCCAGCTGGGCCCTGAACTTGGCCGGAGGGAGAGCCAGAGGGATGCAAGCTTCAGCTCCCATCAGACCTTCCTCAGCTCATGCTCCTGAAGTCCGTGCCAGCATCTCTCAGGACTCACTCCCACCCACCTAAACCAAGGGCAGGCCAATGAGAGCTGGCACACCCAACCAGCCCCACTACCAGGATGGAGAGGGCCAACCATGACGGCCTCATGCTTTCTGCTCTGAGTTTGCTTCTCTGTATTGTGAGGTGGGGAATTTAGTAAAAGGAGAATTAGGAGGTGAGATCCCGCAGAACTGAGGCCCAGGGTTCCTAGAAACGAAAGGCGCAACAGCCACATAGGATAAGAGTGGATGTGGGCATCTGAGAGCAGAGCTGAGGGGACCAACCCTCATTAGCCACAGTGGGTGCTCAGCCTGGAGGCAGCTCCAGAAAGAGTCTGAGCCTGTTCAAGCTACTTAATCCACTTAAATGAAGGTTCACCATCCCTCAGAAGTGCCTATGAGAAAAGAAAAGGCTCATCCAGCACTCCAGGAATAGAGTGAGAAGCGGCACCCACTGTGTCAAAACAAGGCCCAGACATTGCCTCTTGCTTCTAATCTGGATCTAGAATTTATTTCAACATCTCGGGTGGGGTATGTAGGGTGGAGGAAAATATGGAGCTGGAAATGCTGCTTGCTTACCTCGGAATTTGAAAATTCATACATAAGAATATGTCTAGCGACCTAAAGGTGCCCTAGGCATCCTGGTGCCCCGCTGCCATGGTCCCCATAGTCTGGGGCGGCCCATCATCTGCAGTGTGGAGACATTGGTCTCCAGCTCACACTGACAGCATGGGGCCCAGGCTGAGCACAGCAGGTGAGGGGACTCATGGTTCACAGCATTTCCACCTGCTGGTATCCAGGGCGGCTACTTGTATACACATTTGAGCCATGATGTTAAACAGTTCCCTCTAATTTTTTTTTCTACAAACATCCCTGAGGAAGAGGCATTTTCCCTTGGCAAGCTCTAAATCAGGTCAAATACAGACAGCCTTGATGTTAGTATAGGTAGCTAGTCCTATATAATAAAAGCCTAATATGCTAAATGTCTGACCGTTTGACCATTCAACCAGTCTCTATGATGTGCACTGACCACCAGGGGGCAGGTGCTCTGACCAGTAGGTTAGCTTGCTGCTGGGGTCCGGCTGATCGGGACTTGGCCTGGGCCCTCCCACAGTCCCTCCCCAGCCCTGATCATGCACCAGTGGGGTCCCTCGGCCTGGCCTGCACCTTCTTGCAATCTGGGATGTTGGAGAGCTGGTTTAGTCCCGATCTTCACAGGCCAGGCCGAGGGACCCCACCTGCCAGAGGGACCCCACTCACTCTGCAGACACCGGGGAGGGACTGCAGGAGGTTGGCTCCAGGGCATGTCTGGCCTGCCTCACCCAGTCTTGCCCCTCCAGCCACCTTCTAATTTCCTTTCAATGTGCACAATGTGCACAAAATCATGCACTGGGTCACTAGTTAGTATTAATAAAGGAAGGGAGCAAAGGAAATAAGGTATTAAGCCTCATCAACGGGAGCTGAGTCAGACATTAAACCTCACTTACTAGGACAATGTAACATTCCCAGCTCCCCAGGGGACTTAACCCCCTGAAGCAGGCTTCCCCACCCCCCAACAGACAGCCGCTATCCAGGATGAAAGAGAGAAAACAGTAAAGGAGAAAGCACTTTGCTCAGCACACACCCAGCAGAAGCCAAGCGGGCACAGGAGGAGGAGCGTGTACTGTGAGGCATGCACAGTAGGAACTAAGATGGTGGCCATGAGGGGTGGAACCAAGCCTGGGAAAAGGATTGGATTGGATAAGGGAACAGAACCCAGAAGATCTAGGAAAGTGATTGGTTGTGGAGAGGGCCCAGCGCGAGCCTGGGAGGATTGGGCTATTGACTGGTTAGCTTAGAAGAGGACTGGCCCCTTCCCAAGCCCAGGTGATCTAATCAAGCTTAACCAAGGCCTCGTGCATTCATTCGCCTGTCCGTTTGCGAGCAGCAGCCATGCGGGCCTGGCAGCATCAGGGCTCCAAGGACGGCCTCAGAGCAAGCCTGCGGGCGCCAGCACAGTGCTGCTGCAGTGCGACCAGCTGCGGTGCACTCCGGCGAGGAGACTTGGCCAGTTGAATGGGGACAGAGACTGAGGTGGGCTAAGCTTTGCATGGATGGGACCAATGCCGCAGTTTCTGGGCCCTGGCCTTGCTTCTGGGCTTGAGGCAGACAAGGCTGGACTTCTTCCACGGTGGGCCCAGTGGAGGGGGGCACTGGGACCTGGGGCAGTCTTATTCCTCCCCCAATACCTCATCCTCCCAATGCTTGATCACTGAACCGTTTTTCTTGAGACACCGAAAGTACCTCATTTCCACCAGCAACATTGACACTAAGATCTTCAGGGAATGACCAAGCAGGTCGTGTAGTGATATCATATAACCATTTTTCTAGCTGAAGGAGCTAAGGAATCGAGGAACCTGAAAGAAATTCTGCAGAGAAATGCAACCATCCTGAACAGAATTCGCCTCCATAAACATCCCTGCTGTGCTGCCTCCATCAGCAACACACTCCTTGCACACTGGGAAGACATGAATACACCACATCACGTGAAACCCTTAGACACTATCAAATCTGAGAGGCTCCAAAATAATGACTGGCTAAGAAAAAAAAATAATGGCAAACCACAACATGCCATTCATTTCAGACTAGAGGCCCGGTGCACAAAGTTCGTGCATGGGGTGGGGAGGTCTCTCAGACTGACCTGCACCCTCTCCAATCCGGGACCCCTCGGGGGACATCCCTCTTGCAATCCAGGACTGCTGGCTCCTAACCGCTCACCTGCCTGCCTGCCTGATCACCCCTAACTGCCTCTGCCTGCCAGCCTGATCGCCCCTAACCACCCTACCCTGCCGGCCTGATCGCCCCTAACTGCCCTACCCTTCTGGCCTGATCTCCCCTAACTGCTCCCCTGCCGGCCTGATCGCCCCTAACCACCTCTGCCTCGGCCCCCACCACTGGGGCTTTGTCTGGAAGGAGGACCGGACAACCAGAAGATGTCCAGTTGACCCAGTCTAATTAGCATATGACCTTTTTATTAGTATAGATAATAAAATGTGGGCTGTGGAACCAGTGGAATATGGTGTAAGAGAAAACAAAATGGGGCAAGGACATTAAGAGGAGACGTTTGCACATACCCACACCTCCTTTCTACATTGTAAGTAAATCAATGGCTTCATGCACTATCCTCAAGCAGAGGTGATTTACGGAAGAATTAAAGAGCCAATGCCATCTGTCACCCTGTTGGTGAGCCTTCATGTGGCCAATCAAAGTTTGAAGCGTGTGAAGGTTTTACACAATGTGCACCACACAGACCTGGTAAAGCTGGAAGTGGGGAGCCCGTGGAACACCCATTGTGTGGGGGGCCCTGAGCAAGGCAGGGGCCTGAGCCCCCCAACAGACCTGTTTTGAGTCGGACGTCCGCAGGTTCAGGCTGGCGGTGGATATGGTGAGGGAGATGCTCATCCCCGCGAACTGGAGGTTGCTCTTGCCCAAGATGCTGGACAGCATTTTGCTTGGAGGCTGTGAAATCAAGCAGCATTAGTTTCGATTTGAGTGACTGGAGGCCTCACTGCTGGGGCCTCTCTGTTGTTCCTATTTCCCACACCCCCACACCCCCAAACCTCCATCTCCCACCCTCATTAGGCATGTGAAGACTATTGTGCTTCGAATAAGCTGGCGGGGGGGCGGGGGGGGCAGGGTCTGACACTAACACAAAGATTCTAGAATGCGCAGTGTGGGGATTATGAACATCTATGCACACACTGAGATGAGGGAAAGGTGGGGTCAGGGTCCTGGGCAGCTCATGTTGGGATGCGTCTGAGAGAGTGACTTGGAAGCCTGGGGAAAGGGCCACAGGCCAGGGCCTGCAGCTTTGCACTCAGAAACCAGCTTCATCCACCAGGAGCCATGTTAGTCAGGCCAGGCTAAGTCGGTCCACTTGGGGGTCATGAGCAATCCCATTGAGCCGTGAGAGTGCTCATTGCTGGAGGACTGGAGCCTGAATGCTCTAGCCGGCACATCCTCTGGTCCAGTCAGAACACACGGGTCTGGGGCACCACGGAGGAGTGACAGACTCCTTTCGGCTCTAACAGGTGTACCCATCAGACCATAATTGCTCTTGGCACAGGGACCGCGGCTGCATGCTTCAGCCAGGCACCTCCTCCTGGGTCCCTGCGTGGGCACCACCAACACTTGTCCATTGCTAACCCCCCAACCTTCCTCTTCAGATTAGAGCTCACCCCCTTCGATATCCCATCCAACCTAGTTCTTAACCAGGCTGGCCCCACATGTGAATCCCCTGCCTGAACTAGTGAAAGGCAGAGCTGCCGGGCCCTGATTCAGTGCCTGGCGCGGAGCCTAGAAGTCGGCTTTATTTCCATCACCTGCACCCAGAGAACCAGGAGGGACCCCAAGACTTGCCGCTCAGGCGCCACCTGGCTGTTCTCAGACACCCTCCTAGTTCCCATATTCAAGATTCTGGGGGCATCTTGCTTCCCATGTCCCCTGTGGGATGACCAGAACACAGGCCAGCACATCTGAGCCTTCATCCAAAGTTCTGTCTCTGACACTCGGTTGCCCTTTTGGTCACCAATGTCCCCAAGCTACAAAGACACAAACAACTCACAGCCCAGGTAGCAGCAGAGGCAAGCACCAGTCTGCTCCCTCCCCCCGCTTTCACCCCCCCTCCCGCCCGCATCAGGACAGACTCAGAGATACACAGAGGGGCGCCCCCACATTCAGGCCAGGTGCAGACAGGTCCTGATGGCGGGTATTTACTTCTGTGTTTACTAGGCACTTAAGTTCAGAGTTTTTCTGAGCTTTCTCTTAATCCAGTTGTTGCCCCTAGAGCCAAGTAGTTGGGCTGGAGCTTGGCTCCACCACCTGCTGGCCTCATGGGCTCTCCTCTCGGTGCCTCAGTTTTTATCTCTGTATAATGGGGACATGCAGCGGCGTTCTAGAGCCGCTCATGCTAGCGAATGAGCGACAATGATCAAATGTTTAGGAATATTATGAGCTGGCTATTAAAAACAGCTGCTATTAAAAATTAATTATGTAAACTTGCAATTAAATACATTACATTTAAAAAACAATAAATACTCAAAACTCATCACTTCCTACTTTTTGCTGCATCAGCTGTTACCCCTGCAGTTCAGGTTGTCTGCGTCCGCTGTGCCTGTGTGAACTGCGTGGACACTGTATAATGGTGTCTGCACCCCTCTTCCCAGCTCCCTTTTAGGGTGTCATGGTAGAGCTTGAAAATGGCCACAAAAACTGGCAACGCCACCAACTTGGTGCTTCTCGGTCCCCCAGGCCTGAGAGACGTTGTTGAACTTGCGCCAGCCCAGCGCTGAGGGGTCTGCCATGAGAGCGGTGCCCATGGAGTGAATGGGTGACCCGAAGCTTGGGAGAAGGCGGGCTGTTCTACGCGGCTGTTGCCATCCCTGTCTGTACGTTGAGGCCACAGCGAGGAACCAGGGTGTGGCGTCTGGGTTGGCAGCAAAGCTAACTGATCTCCTCAACCACGCGGCAGAGAGGGGACCTAAGCTCTTTCTGTTTTTAAAGTGGCAAGAGCCCTTTCAACAGGGGTGCCTTTTGGTTCTCCCTGGGCAAACACACAAACAAACTAACACAGTGCGGAGCGCTAGGCCCTGGGAAGAGAGGCCTGGGCCAGGTGTGTGAGGGAGCTGCGAGGGGCAGAGGAGGGAGAGGCGGGCAGACGCAGCGCTGAGGACAGTACCTTTCTCTTCCTGAAGGCCCCCTTGGCGCCCGGGACGGCTTCACACACGCGGCTGATGGCTTCCCTGCGAGGACAGGGAGAGAGCGTTCACATGGCGGCCAGGCCCGCCCAGCCCAGCCCTGCAGGTGCCCCAGAGGACGGCCCTGCCCCTCGGGCCCCCGTGCTGTCGCGGGGCTTGCCTCCTAATGTGCGATGCACAGTCGATGCGCTCGTTGCTTTAGTTTCTGTTTGTTTTTATGTTGGGTTCAGGTTCCGTGTCAGGGACGCGGTTCCTGCAATGGACTCTCCCGGGGGTTGCGCTCATGGGGACGGCCCGGGGCCCACTGCTACCAAGCGCTGCCACCAAGCAAGGGCCTCCAAGTGAGTCAGAAGGGACTCGAGGACACGCGGTCCTCGGAGTGTCCCTCCCCTCCCCGTGACAAGACAGAGACCCGCAGATGTCCTGAATCCTTCGCAGCAGCAGCAGCAGCGTAGGGTGGGAGAGAGAGGCAAGAGGCTAATCGGTTAACAGCCTCGGGCCAAACCAGCAAAAGCGCTCACATTCCTGAATGTGCTGAAACTTTGGGTCAACCTTGGTGACTATTCGGCTCTTATCTAGCGAGAACGGCGATGACCAAACTCCACCGCACCCGCCCACACCCATCCAGAGGACTCTGCGCCCCACTTCCTTTCTCCCGCCCCCTTTATCTGTAGCCAAAGTAAGTTCTTTCCAAATAAGTGGCATCTCCCTCTCCACACTCACTGTATATGAGACCCACGAATCCCAGGACACACACGCTCATCTTCCCGGCCACCCGCCGCTGGTGGCTCAGGCTGCTTGCTCCAGGACCTGGTCCTTTTTCTGGCTAGAATACAGCTCAGCAAACCCTTTATTTCAGAAAAACTTTTATCCCCCATGTTTTTTATTTAGCAACAGCTCTGTAGTTAGTAAATCATATAATCTGAAGGGGTTTGAAGGAGAGGAACTCCAGGGGTATACAAATGAGCCAGAAATGAGGTTCCGTGCAGGTCAGTGCCATGGAGCAGGCATTTATGGAGCAGCTCCCATGTGCCAGGCACTGTCCTGAAGGAGTCAGTGAGTGTCCTAGGTCCTGGGGGGAGGGGCCTGACAGGAGGACAGGCTGCAGGGGGTCTGACCCCAGGGCCGCATGGGGCAGAAGCAGAGGGGAAAGTGCACAAGTGAGCCCAGAAGGAGGCAGCTACAGACCGCATGCTGGAGGTGGGGCCTCAGGCCAGGAGGATGTGGCTGCGTAGCCACTTGAGAGCAAACAAAGCTGAACGTTGTGACTCAGCCTCAGAGATAATGATGGGAGATCTGCTGACGTCAGGAGCCAGAGAGAGGCTGGTGAGCCTCCCAGCTCCCACGTGAGGAAGGACAAATTAGTCAGAGAACCCTGGACAAGGTACACGACGGGATCGGAGACGCGCTGAATGGTGGAGAAGACAGTGGGTCCTCAGAAACATCCACAAGCTTCTCAGCTGAGCACTTCTTGGAACTATTTTCTCTCATCTGGAAACAGAATTGCCATCACAATGCATTGCTTTTAAGAGAAATACAGCCTTGTCAAATTAGGTAAGAGACCACGAAGATAAGCTTCACATTTGCCATTGAATTTATTGTAGAGAGTCGAGAAAGAAGTGCGATTCTAAAAGGTCAGAGACCATGAAATTGTAGACAATGAATCACCATGACTCGCAAAAAGTTCATTTAAAATAAATAAATGACTTGGATGTTTATATGTACTCATTTATTTATTAATAATATTCTTGCTGTGGTTCCATCAAAATGACCATCCTCAGTACTTTCTAAAAGCACATTCCTATTGAAAGCCAAGCAGTCTCTCTTAAACAACTACACGAACCCCAGCATCTACATTGTACCTGTTTCGTTTTTTTAAAACTGGATGTGTCCCTGCACTGTACTTGGTACATTAAGTGATATATGTAGCTAAACAAAGCAGCTGATTCTCTGCTGGCCCCAGCAGCTGGAAACGCATTTTATGGTGGAAAGTCTTCCATAGTCATTTCTTAAATTCCCCCAGCAGGCATCGGATTTCCTTTTCACCCACAGACCTGGAGGTACGAGGGGGAAGCCAGTTGGATGACAGCTAAGCTGTGCTGTAGGTCCACTCTAGTGAGGCCACGCAGAGCTTGCGCTGCTAATGTGTCTGGGAGAGGGAGGTGGAACAGTGAGCGTTAAGAATAGGGTTGTGGGGAAGACACTGCAAACGATGAGCATGTTCTAGCAACAAGCCCCCCACAGGGCAGGCAAGCACTTCAGGGCAGAGTTAGAGACTCAATCTTTTGTCTTTAAAATGTGCAGCATGAGAAATTCCAGAAAGTTCTCAGAGCTCATGGACTCAGGAAAGTCCTAGGATCCCCTTGAGGGGCAGCCTTCAGAAGCCCCAAAGAGGTTTGCAAATCAAGCTGCTTTTCAGAAAAATGTCCTCCTTTCTTCTCATTGGCATAAATTTCTTACTAATGTTCATATGATAGTATGTGTGTGTGATTCTCATTTTAATCAGGCTGATGGTATCTATTTCTATTTGAAATAGAAATGTGACATGACTATTATAATTGCAATACTTAGGCCAGCTGGTGTGGCTCAGGGGTTGAGCACTGACCAATGAACCAGGAAGTCACAGTTTGATTCCCAGTCAGGGCACATGCCTCCTGAGGAAGGTCAATAGAGATAGGTTTCTCTCTCTTTCTCTCTCTCCCTTCCTCTCTGAAATCAATAAAAATATTTTTTAAAGTAATTGCAATAGTTACATGAATGAAATTAGTAACTTAACTCCAAGGTCTAATTTTAAATGTCACAATTCTCATCGTCCCTCCTTACTGTTTAGTGCTCTGCATTTTGGTGAGCATTCTATTTCAATTTGTTCATTTAGCAATAACTATTTAGCTTTGTGTCCTTCCATTTAATCCCAATGTGAGTCTCAGGTAGCAATTTTGCCCTGTTTTTAATAATAGAGATTGCTTCTTAGCATTCTGTTCAGTGCATTCCCATTTCGGTAAGCCAAACCATGAGCTCAGAGCAAGGTAATAGGAAAATGAAACATTTGGCACCTTCACGGTTATCTGGAAGTAATCCCAAATGCTGAGCCCACTTTCTCATAACATCAACATCTTCCTCTATTCAGCCAAAATTCTCACCATTACAGCCAGTACCGTTCACCTTTCATAACTTTCTCATTGGAATGTAGGATTTTTGAACTGGAATCTTTCAAGTCGTAGCATCATCTTTCTCCCTAATCATCCATCTCACTCCTACCAACCTGATCTACACACACACACACACACACACACACACAAACACACACACACTTTACAGACTCAAGCTATTAAAAAAGAACATCTGGGTGATTTCTGCACTCATGGGATTGGAGTGAGTAGGGGAGGGGCAACAAACAGACACATAGAACAGCAAACTGCGATCAACTTTATGAACAAAGAGGAGAGATACACGTAGTGAAGAGGATCAGAACAGTCACCCTCAAATAGGCCTCTTTGGCATAAAGATTATTTTAAGCTGAAGGCAACTGAGAAGAAGCAGACTCCGGAAAAGCCCTCTGTCCTCTTCTATTTGCCTAAAAGCAGGACATGCATTTGTAAAGGCGGGCCCCGCCCTTCACTCCCAGGAAGAACAGAAGTTAGTCACTGGAGACAACTCCAGCCCTGACCAGCCCTGAGACCAGCAGAGGGATCTGCCTGAGAAGCCTACTAGCCCTCAGCTTCCATTAGTTCCTGCATAGCAGGAGCTTACCCTCCCACAGCTGCTGCCCCGAGCTCCCAAACTCCCTTCCTCCGTCCTGTCTCTTCTGAATGGATTGACTGCTCTTTGGTTAAGATGGTTTAGAAGCCTAAGTTCTAAACACTTTTGTAGCTGCTCATCACCGAGTTTCCCTGCCTGCAAGGGCACGGCATGCATTATGCATTAATCCATCGTTTGTCTTTCTCTTACTCATCTGCCTTTTGTCTGATTTGCAGAGCCTAAGCCAGAAAACCTAGGAGGGCAAAGCAAAAATGTCTTTCCTCCCCAACAGTAATAAATGTGGTGATGCCTGTCAGGAGGGGGAAGAGTTGCCCAGGGAGGGACATTTGAGTGGCTGGGCAGCTACCCAAGGGAAACAAGTGGGTTCCCATCTTGTGCCTTATATGCAAATAAATTACACATAGATCACAAATTTAATTTATTTGTAATGAAACTGCAAAAGTACTAAATGAAAACTAGGAGGACATTTTTTAAATCTTTGAGTGAAAAAAGCCTACACTAAAATTCCTGTTTCTCAGCCAAGTATCAGGACTCTGCACTGGTGAGGAGGTGATTCGGCGCAGTCTCCATGGGGGCAGATTGGTCAAATCCGAGCAAAATGAAAAATGCACAGCCCTGGGGCCAGCAGCTCTGCCTCCTGCACACCCTCTAAGTGCACCTGCAAATGAACCTGCGATGCGTGCGCACCTCTACTGACTGCAGCAAGTGTCCAGCTGACCTGACGGGGAGCGACCAGTGTCCATCATATCACAGGCCATTTCTAGACATGACGGCCCCTCCACAAAATGGACCACCAGCTCCGTGATGTTTATGATGCCCTCCGCCCTCTCCACTCCCCTCCACACCAGCTCTAATTCCCACTAGCTGCCCCTGCAAACTCACCAACAGCCTCCACGGCACCAAATAAATGGGCCATCTCTGTCCCCTGTCCCCGCTCCCATCATGGCTTCCTGGCCCCAGGCGCCTCTGCTGTCCTCTGCCCTCCGGCCGCCCTCGGCCAGTGCCTGGCCCTCTCTGTGGCTCGGCCTCTAAACTGTGGAGAGTCCCAGCTAATCCTGTCCATTCCCTTTCAGACCAGGAAACGTCCTCAGCCACTGACAACCTTCTCCATTTTCCTGTGTTCAGTGTAGATGCTCCATCCCCCCTTCGGAGCAGCTGGGCAGGAGCCTGCAGGGGCCCAAGAAGCGAGGGCCTCCCACCCTCTGGCTGCAGCTGCTGACACTTTGCCGGGGGTGGGGGTGGGGTGCCCAGGGAGAAGTCGGGGCACAGGCAGGACACCTCCAGCC